CTCTCTCGCGCCTTATATGTGTGTATGTGTGTGCGTATGTGTATGTGAGTAGCATGTCAGCGATGTAGAGTGTATGGCGATATGTATTCGCACGACATAATGCTTCCAATGTTTGGTTGCCAACACGATAGCTAACTCTTCTCGTTCTGTCGTGTGATAATTTTGTTCCGCCGCCACCAACTTTCGAAAATAGAAAGCATCAGGATGCCATCCATCCTCCCATTCTTGTTGAAGTATGCCACCTACTGTTGTACCTGATGCGTCAGTGGCCAACTTGATAGAACGGTTAGGATCATACCACTTGAGAATAGGTGCGTGTAACAAAGCATCTTTCAATGCTTGAAAAACTAACTCTTGAGCTGTTCCCCATCTCCACTTTTGATCTTTCCCTAACATGGAAGTCAAGGCCTGAGCTAGTCGAGCAAAACCTTTCACAAATCTACGATAAAATCCAGTGAGCCCTAGAAAACTTTTCAATTGAGTTTGATCCTCAGGTGCTATCCATTTCTGAATGGCATCTATCTTCTCACTCATCACTTGGATTCCTGTAGCTGTAACTCTATGACCCAAGTAATCTACTTCTGACTTGCCAAATTCACATTTTGAAGCTTTGGCATACAATTGATTGTCTCTTAAAACTTGAAGTACCTCTCGTAAATGACTTCTATGATCACTCAAAGTTTTGCTATACACCAATATATCATCTAGAAAAACAATGACAGATTTATCTAGATAAGGGCGAAAGATATCGTTCATCAATCCCATGAATGTAGCTGGTGCATTAGTGAGACCAAAAGGCATCATCAGATACTCAAAGTGTCCATACCTAGTACGAAAAGCTGTCTTGTGAAAATTTTCATCTAAAATTCGAATTTGATTGTAGCCGCTTCTCAAATCTAGCTTGGTGAAGTACTTCGCTCCTTGAAGTTGATCAAACAAATCATCCATACGAGGTAATGGATATTTATTTTCCACCGTTTGCTGATTCAACCCGCGATAATCGATACATAGTCTCATGGATCCATACTTCTTCTTCACAAAGAGTACTGGAGCTCCATAAGGTGAAACACTTGGTTGAATGAATCCCTTGCTCAACATCTCCTCCACTTGAGCTTTGCATTCTTCCAATTCGTTTGGAGCCAAACGATATGGAGCTTTGCAAGTTGGTGTACTTCCATGTATCACTTCAATCTTGTGATCTACTCGCCTCTTTGGTGGTAATCCTGCAGGTAGATCATCTGGAAAAACATCTTTATACTCCATAAAAATGTCGTTCAAGGACTCCGGGATGTAAGGTTTGTCCGTGGACCCAATATCTCTTATAAGTCCAAGGAAACATACATCATCTCTAGAAATGGATGTTGTACCCATCACGAAGAGGGGTAAATTCCTATTCTGAGATCTAATTCTATCTCCATAGATCTTCCATCCACTACTTGTAATCACTTTTCTTCTCCAATCTACCTTTGGATTATATTGTTCCATCCATGGCATTCCAAGGATGACATCATATCGAGCTAAACGAATTACTCTCCATTCAATGTTCTCCTTGTATCTACCTATGGATAATTCTACACTCCGTGGTAGTGTTTCTATCACTTCAGTTTGCCCGTTTGGCAATTCCACTTCTTCACTCACGTACTTCATCAACATCAAACCTAACTTCATAGCAACACTCATTGATAGAAAATTCTCAGTTGCTCCAGGATCAATTAAAACTCTCACCTTGTGTCCTTCCATGAAACCATCAGTGACAATGAGTTGAGCTTGCTTCTTACTCCTTCCATGAGCTCCCAACCATTGCCTTCTTCCAACCTCGCCTTTTCTTCGCTTTGTAGAACCAGTAAGGCCGCGAGGCAAGATTACTGGTGATCTTCGTTTCCCGAAACTGCTTCCTCCACCTCTTCATACTTTATCCCCTCCATATTGTTGAACGGTCGTCGCTGCATGGGCCGTCCTCCTTGTTGTGTCGGCCGAACTCGACAAAACTTGGCTATGTGACCCATTCGTCCACATGCATAGCATTGGCGATTGTCACGAACTCCAGCTCCTCCTCGAACCATTCCATTATTTGCATAACCTTCTTGCAAATTTGGAACTCCTGGTCGCCGAATCTCACCTCCAAATCTTGGTGGTGGTCCTCTTGTTGGTGCAAAACCTTCTCTACGTCGAAGGTTTTCCAACTCCATCGGTGTTGGACCAGATGGATCTCTAAATTGCTCACTGGTTCACCGTGTGTGACACCAAAAGCACCTGAAATTCGTTGAGCAATTGCGATTGCTTCATTCACAGTAGATGGATTGCTTACCATCACCTCCTTTCGAATTCGATACTTCAAGCCTCGTTTGAACACGTCCAAGGCTTCAGCTCCACTCATATCCATGATAGATACTTGAAGATCACGAAATTCTTCAATGTACTCATGAATACCTCCTTTCTGCTTCAGATCCCACAACTTCATTCTTGCAGTTTGAGGAGAATCCACCGCTTGAAAATTTTGCAAAAATCCTTCTTGCATTCCACTCCACGAAATGGTAGCACCTCGTTCTGAAAGCTCTCCCATGTTGTGTACCATGTGAGAGCCTTATCCGTAAGATAAGATCTCATGAACATTCCTGCAATATAATCAGAAACATGAAAATGGGATAAATGAATATTCATCCTCATAATCCATCCCTCTAACACTCCCATTGCTCTACTCCCTTTGTAAGCTTCCACCTTACAGGATTTTCCCATTTGAAGCAAAAGATTTGCTTGATCTTTAATCTCTTGAAGACGCCTTCTATTTGACTCTACTGCATCAATAGGAGTTGGTTCTGGCTGAACTTGGGAAGCTTGAACTTGAGGTGCAACTTCCATGTCTCCAACTCTCTCTCTCTCTACTTTCTCACTCTCCAATGGAAAGATTTTATCTTCCATGGCTTGCTGCTTGGTATGTACATCTACTATCACTTTTCTCAACTACTTCATCTCCGCCATAATTGCATTGAGAATCTCATCCATATCAATTGATGTCCTCATGCTTTCTCACACTCCTTCTAATACAAAGTGAGTATAATCACTATGTGACCTCTCAACAAAAGAATCACAAAAGGTGCAGGTGATTCTATAACAGCTCTATAGTACTCCTCTCCATAATTGCTCACAAGAAAATCTTTCCATATACTCTTATGTCTGTATACTGTTCTAATCTCTACATAAGTGTTGAATCGAACCGGGACAGGTGGTTCGCGATTCAAATCCATGAAACCTTCAATATAGAATGTATATAGTACAATCCCAAGTCTCTCCATAAGTAACTATTGGAAGAATCAGTGGCACTCTCGACTGCATCACTCTAGTCATAAAATTTGCACCCCAACAAGCCACAAGGTACATCCGAAAATGATGTTTCTCCATGCAACGAAGGTGAATATCGAATAGGTTAAGAATTGGCAAGTGCGGTACTGGGATTCCGTCAATCCCGTCCATATTTGCAAAACCACAATTTCCTCCCTTCCACCTCTCTCTACGTGCAGATGAATGACCTTTGCCAGCCTCTATACAGTCTCAAGACTACACTCCATCATCACTCACTTGCTATTCCATGAGGGGTAATCCACACTCAAGGAAAGAGCAAGGTCGCTCTGATACCATTGTAACACTAGGGTTTAGAGAAAAGCTCACTCGAAGTTTACTCTCATCTTGATGTTAAAGTTAACTGTCACGTTAGAGTTCGCAACACTGGTGATGAGATTTTTGGTATTTAGAAAGAATCAAACATTTGTAGACCTCAGAAGAAGCTTTTGGTCATTGCTCAAATGCTCCAAAACTTATTAGTTAGTAAGTTCACTACTAGAATTGAGAGATGGCTCAACAAAGTTTAGAACGTTATTCTAATCTGGATGGTAAAATGGAAGCTCTCAACACAACGGGGAATCGTTTGAAACTGATTTTTTTTCTAACTTCTACTAGTAGACTTGTAGATTCGCACCTATCCTAGCTTTATCTTCAAGGTTCCACGTTATGTTTGGTTGTTCTGCAATTTTTCTTGGAGGTGCATCTCTTCAATACCTGATTTCAACTAAGGCTTGTGGTTCTTGGCTGAGTTGTTAGACGGTTGAAATTCTTTCAACCGTCTCAAAGAAAAAGAAGCTCTCTCACATCTCTTCTCAATCCATTATGTTTCCTTCGTCCTTTCCGCTTGGTTGCGTGGGTGCGTTTATGGACTTGGTTACGTGAGCCCTTGCTTCGTGCCTTTTTTGTGTTTGAACTTCGAGCTTTATGGACTTCTGGCCGATGGAGTTGGTATATACATGTTTCTTTCTATAATTCTTCTTCTAGGCTAGGGGTTGGCTTGGGCACGGCAGTTTGGTGCTCTTTGTTCTATTATCTTCTTCTCGGTTGCTCTTGCTTGTTAGTCACTGGTTTGCCTCGCGTTGGCTTACTTCTGTTTTGTATTAGCGCTATTGCGCCGTAAATTGGTAATTTTGTGTTTGAACTTGGAGGGTGTTTCGCGGTTTGGGCGTGATGAACTTCTTGCATGTGGAGTTGGTATATACAAGTTTCTATAGTTCTTCTTCTAGGCTAAGGGTTGGCTTGGGCACGGCCGTTTGGTGCTCTTTGGTACGTTATCTTATTCTCGGTGGCTCTTGCTTGTTAGGCACTGATTTGACTCACGTGGCCTTCCTTCTGTTTTGTATTAGCGCTCTTGCGCAGTAATTTCAATTCATAATGCAAGTTTTCACGAAGAAAACGAGAGAGAAATATGTGGATAAACCGTGAGACAAGGAAAAGGTTCAAATGCTTGCCATCCGGTGTCCAGTTCTCGTTGAACGGGAACGGTTCACGGACCGCGGGTCCAGTGACTGGGTGACCGGTGACCGGTGACCGGGAACATCCATACTCTCGAGCCACAGCGTGCCTCGAGAATATGGATGGCAAGATAGAGCCAGTTCGTCGACAAATGTGGCCTGGAATGTGCAATCCAGGGTTTAGGGGTTTAGGGTCGGGGCGAGAGATGGAGACGAATCCTTCTTCTTGGACATGGCAGCCTCGGCCATTGCAAGCGGGCATGTCCTGCGGGCAGCTCGCGGGGGCTCGTCGGCGTCACCACGCTCTCGATGGCTCGAGCTGCGATCGAGCGTCAGCGGGATTGCGCAGAGCAGCGAGCAGCTGTGGGCGAATTGCGGGGCGAATTTGAGCTGGACTGTCGATGGTGGCAGTGCGAGAGGCCGGTGGCTATGGACGACGTCCTGCTCTTCTGCGCCTCAAGATCGAGCTCCACCTGGGAATGGAAGGCTTCCGCCTCCGCTGTCGAGGCGGAGCGGGAGCTCGAGCTCGAGCCCGCGCTCCCGATTGCCGCCGGGAGGCGATCGGATGGAGAGATTCTTCGCGACGTGTGCGCCGGGGCTGGAAGAAATCGTGTTCGCCGAGCTTTGCTCGCCGATGATCGGAGCCCGGAGCGTGCAGATTGGGTCGGCGGGTGTGGCGTTCTGCGGAACCATGGCCACGGGCGTTCGCGCTAATCTATGGTCGAGGTCCGCGATTCGGATTCTCGTGGAACTCGCCACCGGTCCTTTGCCCCGGCGACGGCGTGCCGACCCTGTGTACGAATTCGTGCGAGATGCGGCCGATTGGCCCACGCTGCTCGTCGACGAGTCCTCGGATTCTCCCTCTTCTCCTCCGCAGGCTCTGTCGAGGAAACGAGGGCTAGTGCCGAAATTCAGGACGTTTTCGGTGAACAGCAGGGTCTATGATTGTGAGGGTGTCTCGAATTCGATGTTCGCGTCGACGAGAGCGAAAGATGCAATCTGCGATGCGGTCAAGGATGCCTGCGGGGGCTCGAGACCCGATCCTCCTGCGGATGGTGTGGCCAGTGCGGACGTGCCTTTGTTCTTCTCCCTGTACCGCGACCGAGGAATCCTGTACCGGGACATGAGCGGCGTGAGCTTGCACAAGAGGGGTTACCGAGACGTAATGCACCGCGCAGGATTGAATGAGGCCATTGCCGCCGCTATGCTCACCATTGCTGGATGGAACTCGCATCTTCCGGGCTTTGGACTTGCGAACCGAAACGCCGGCAGTAACTCCAAGGTGCTACTAGACCCAATGTGCGGTTCGGGGACTCTTCTCATCGAGGCTGCCCTCATGGCCATCAACAGTGCGCCGGGGCTAATGCGGAATTTGTGGCCATTCGAGGTATGCCACGAGGCGAGGGCGGGATCATCTTCTAAATTCGAATTTTTTTCTTTCCAGTAATTGGCTGAATTTTGACAGTAGAAATTTTTTGCCTTCATACTACGGTTGATGGCGTATGACCCTGTTCAAATGAGACCTTATGTAGCGCCATTGATAGGCTTTGTATGTTTTTCCTGCATGGCTGAAGCCATTGCTCCATGAATCTCGCTAATTAAGAATCCAGTGAACTGTGCCCGCGCATTCAGAATCCATTTTCTGCAAATTGGATACCTTAACAGGGTCACAGCATAAAGCACGAAAAAATTGGAACTTCTTTGCAGCTGGATGGATTCTTATGAGTCCGTATTTGTTTGCAGACATGGCACGACTTTGATCCCTCCATTTTGGAAGCCTGCCGACAGGAGGCTATAGCAGCAGAGGTCAGGGCTCCCGAAGGGCTCAGACTTCTTGGTAATGATATTCACGAGGGTGCCTTATCCCTCTGCGAAAGAGACGCCAAAGCGGCGAATGTGCTTTCCATGCTTGAGCTCTCCTGCAAAGACTGCAAAGATTATTCTCCCCGACTCTCTCCGTCTCTTGTTGTCGTGAATCCGCCTTGGGGTGCTCGCCTCGAGCCCAATAGGTAAGTGTCGACCTCAGGAAGACCATGATCATTTGTGCAGCTCGTAATTTTTGTAAGCCTGCCGCTGACGTTGAGCAGCAAGTCTTATGATCTTTGCATAAAGAGTGCATTCATCTGTTAGGACCTTAAACCCATCTGTTTAAATGTGATGAGGTTCTTGGGCATCTCTTTGAAGTTTAGTTACAGTCCGGCCATTGGCGCCGAATATGTGGAACTGGTGTGTTGAGTTCATTATCAAATTGGTAGCAGATTCATCTCCTCCTCCTTATTATCTTTGCTGGCTGTGCAGTGGCGGAGACGATGACACGCTTTTAACAACATGGCGGAATTTGGGCAGATTCCTCAAGTCTAGCTGCAATGAGACAGATGTTTACGTGCTAAGTGGGAATTCAAATGTGACTCATGCAATGCACATGAAAGCAGACAAGAGGTGGGCAGTTACGGTAGGAGGAGTTGACTGCCGAATTATGCACTACTACGTTTTGCCTCCCAAAGCCAGACCTGCCGCGGAAACAATATCTGAGGCTGCCGCACATACAACAGGGTGAATGAAGCACCCATTATAGATGTCCCTACCGCTTGCGAAGGCTGGCTTATTCAGTCAGGCGTTTGAAAAGCGTTGTACATGAAATTCTTGTAATACAGAAAGGAGTATTTGAAACCGGGATAAAACATGTTCTGAACAAAGGAGATTTTCTCAAGATATATATTATTATTTTAGATGCGGATACGGTACTCATCCAGTTGCGAGATGGTAGAAAGAGTATTACAAACCAACTCACGGCATATCGCTACAGCGACTTCTTGAAAGAGCAATCTTTTACGAGACCCGATGGACATGTTAATGTCTTGTGTATGATAAACACTCGCACACTAGATATAGCATTTGAGGTTTTCTGCTTAGGAGGATTCGGTGAGTGACTACCGTATAAGTCCCAGATTTGGAAAGAATGATACATGTGACCAGTTATAAGACAACGTCCTTGCTAAGATGTGGATGACGTGTTCGCACCAACCTTGACCACAAAATTGGTGCAGCGCTGTTGAATATAATCTGAGCTTCAAGATCCTGACTGTAAAGACTAGTTAACACTCTCGATGCATCCATGTCTTTGTTCCCTCGGGCTCAGATCCAGACGACTATATTGTCACAACACTCCAGAAATATAATACACGTCGCTTCCTATTATCGTCTGAACAAGTCTCCGGTTTCCAAGCGAATTCAAGTGTACGACATTATCCATTAATTCTGCTGCTCGATTCGAAATTGGCATCGCATCCATCTCCAGATTCAAATGAGGTGTCACCAACAACATTGTACTCTCTATTTCTTAGCAACTCCTCAGTACGTTCTACAAACCTCTTGTAACCAACAATCAGAAGGGCACCGTGCACGATACAACAGAAGAGTTGTACTCTTTGATTCTTGGGAACTCATCAGCACATATTTCAGGAATAACCAACAACATGAAGCGTACCATACATAATAATTCAAGAATTTTGATTACCTGGCAAAACGTTCACTTCAATGGAGGAGAAAGTGATTATCAAAATCATGCCTGGTTGTATCCAGATATGTATTGATTTCTGAGTCTATACAGAGTCGCTAATCGGCAGCCTCCTAATATATAGGAATGAGGCTGATCTTATGAACTGAATACAAGAACACAACACGTGTAAAATGACAAGGATCCTCAAACCTAACGTTTCGAGAAGGAGATGAGTGCTCTCCACATCCTTGTCAAAAACTTTTGAGCCGTAAACCTGAAAGAATGATTTAACTACATCCATTACAATACCAGAAGAATTCGACATCTGGGTACAACCATCCTGGCTTTGTATCACGCAATCTAATGCTTTTGCAGTCAGCTATGAGACGGTCATGTGACCATCGCCCTTGGTATATACGTCACACTACCTGCCTATTCTTATGTTTTTTTCGTTCTCATTCGTCTTCTTTTCGATACACTATCACCTGAATAAATCTAAAGCCACTAATGCTTGTGGTGTGAGTGATGACCACCATGATGTCCATATTGAGGAGGATATTCATAACCATACCCACCATGACCCTTGTGCCCACCGTAACCATGACCTCCCTTGTGCCCTTCATAACCGTGATGACCATAACCGTGGGCATCTTTATGTCCCTTGTGCCCTCCATGCCCTCCATGTCCACCATGATGGTGATTATAATGACCATGTTGCAGTTGATGACCTGGAGCAACTCCGTAAGGCATTTGATGGCCTGGAAAACACATGAAAATAAATCATATCGGTTAAACTGGTGCAATAAATTGGTTTCTGCGGTATGTCCATGATCTCAAAACCATATGTTCATCTAATTCCTACTCCATACCCGGAGCAGCGTAGCAGGCGATGCCAGACGAAATTGTGTCTGGGATTATTCTCCAGGCCAAGTGGACAGATAGCTTCACTTGTTCTGACCGATTACAGCTCAAGGCTAAAACAAGGATACAAACAAATTATCACCTTTTTCCTATCCTTCATCTCTTCTCACTTGGTTTTCTCCTCCTCTATTGTCCTAACCAGCTGTGCCCGGACCAAGGGTATGACAGGTAGCCCTACTGAATATAGTCAACTCCAAGCTTAAGAGAATTGGGAGAACCAAGCTGGATCTTCGGTAAGACAACTATATACGTGCATACTGTTGCATCAATCGGAGTCTGCAGTCTTCTAAGCATGAATGTGCTTACCGTGGTACGTTGGTGGAACAAAATGGGGATTGACTGTACCTGTCAGTACAATCAGGATACAATCGGTTAGGATGAATTATTGGCTCTATCGAAGCATTCAATGAAGTAAAGATGATGCGTCGAATTACAAGTACATAATGAAGACTTCGTTTCGAGATAAATCAGTTTCACAAGCGCAAAGGAGCATCTAGAGATATCAGAAGATGAAGAGAAATTACCGTACTGAGGATACATTCCACCGTATCCTGGTGCACCGTATGGAGGAGTGTAGTGCGATGGGTAACCAAGGGGGTGCGATGGATATCCGTCAGCATGATTTTGAGGTGCATACCCATACTGGGGATAACCCGCAGGAGGATAATAAGGTTGGGGGGGATAACCATATTCATGACCATGAAAACCTTTCTCTTGAGTTTCTCCTTCCTTGCTACCCTGGTTGGGACCATTCATGCCTACCTTCAATTTGTCTTTCCCCTGTTCAGCACCCACTCGGCCGGGATATCCGGCAATTGGTGCAGCATGTTCGAACTGACCCGACGATGGAAAAGATGGAGCAGGAGGATACGCAACATTCGGTTCAGGTGGATAGGCTCCTGCATGAGATGCTGCACCAAACTGAGCAGGAATTGAACCCGATTCCTGATGTGTAGTATTTTGTGCCTTGTTAGAGAAATCGGCACTAGGAGGATAGGAAGGAACTGCAGGAGGATAAGTATCTGAATGACCTGGCAAAGGTGCTCCATACTGGGACAAGCCAGGATAAGGCTGACTTCCTGTGTTGGATGCATATCCGTGGATATTATGGCCATAGGTTTCTGACTGCGAGACAGGGGGTTCAGAGTAGTAAGGCGTTCCAAACGACTGTTTACTAGCCTTTTCTTTCTTCTTCTCAGCTAGCTCTACACCTGCTGCTGGGGGATATGCAGGAGGAGAAGGTGGAATATGATGATAGCTCTCAGGGTAGGCAGTTGCAGGCAGTCCATATTGCTGAGCAACTGACTCTGACTCCTTGAACTTGGATGGTACTTCGGATGGAGGATGGGTGTAGTCATAAGGGACTCCGGTCACAACACCTCCGATAGGCGAAGCTAGATAAGGAAGCCCTTGTGGCGGGTAAGGGCTAGATGTTTGTGTAGAGTATGGAGGATAACTGCCAGAATCATTTTCATAACTACTCAATTCTGAATGCTGGTTTGAGTTACTCTCCCTCTTTTCGGGAACGGGTGGATAAACTGGATGTGACGACTGATGCTCAGTATACTGATGGACAAAATTCGAAGCCGATACTGGTCCATCTTGATTAGAAGTTTCATGAGACTCATTGCCAAGTTGCTTGTCCTTATTCAGGGCCAAGCCCGCTAAAGCACTGGCGGCAGCATCAGCCGGTGTATGTGTATCTCCATAACGTTGTTGTCCATAATAAGATTCTTGAGAAGCCCTGTATGGGTATACAGGAGCAGACGGTTGCGTGGTTGCAGGTGGATACATTGGAGCAGAAGGTTGAATTTGTTCATATACACCATACATAGCAGCTGATTGTGTTGTTGTTGTAACCTGCACTTGTAACAGTAAAGGGGAGTATGAGGTAACCCGCGCCAAGTAGTAAATATCTTCAACACGCTAAGATGTACTAAAGATTTTAAGGAATCCTCGCATCTGGTTCCATACTGAACGTCACGTACACCTAGTTAATTTCATAAAAGGTTTCATCAAAGAAGAAACTCAACGAGATGAGAATACGAGGCACGTTCCTTAACGGGAACCAGGATCTCAAAGCAAAAAAATGATCTAGAAATGATTTATGATAGTCATTTGATTGATGTGCACAGAGAGATTTGCTGCTTACCCGCGACTCCCACTTCAGAGTGACCTTAACTTGTCCGCATTCTCCTTCATGAGGTCGGCTCAATGAGTGTAATGACGTCTCCTCGTTCGCTGGAATTATCTTACAAAGGGGTAGCCTGCGTAATCGTCTAGCGTGAGCAGAATGGATACACTCTAAACTGGACTATGACATGAAGTTGAGAGATTATTTACAAGACCACCCCGGCTTAGCTGCAATGTGACCAAGTCAATATTTGCAAAGACATGAATTCTTAAGATCAAATCATATAAGGTTTTATTCTAGTGTATGAACACACTTAGGATCTTAAAAACAGTTTCATGACAAACAGCCCTCAATGTATACCGTTTCTTCGCGGTCTTTTGTCCTTAGCAACCCCACTACCTGAGTCAATCATCTCTCCGCTCTTCTACCATGTTCGTTAATCTCCAGTGTTCTACCCTACGCAAGGCAACGCTTTGAGGAGAAAGCCTCAATTCCAAATAGTCCACAGTTGGCTCCAAATCAACACCACTTTCCAACGATTTTCCCTCATGATGAATCTTTGAGTTCAGAAAGGTCCGATAAGAAAATTTGTCTGTATCACTATCCCATTGCAGATCTAACTGTGCTTTATTAATTTTTGCCTGTCGTAGCTTCAATACCCCACGCACCTCCTTTACCCACCTTTCTGAGCCCTTTCACTAAGTTCAAGAGGGGAAACTGCAGAAAAGACTACTAACGGACACTTCATGTCTGCGACGTTTTTGGCATTGCGGATAAAAAATCACTCTGGATTCTCGAATAACAAGAAGCGGTCAGCAAGCATTTTGCACTTTTTTTTCCCAAAAATCCAAAAAAGATGATCTCCTGGATCGAGGTCAGAAATGAGTTTCTTCCCTCTCATGATAGCCCGATTACTAACAGTTAAGAGAAAGTCTACAAAACTGGTAAGAACAGACAGCAGGGCTCGTTTCTGATATATAACACGGGAGAAATGGCAAAAGAGGAGCTTAACCCCTGTGAATTATCAACGTCGTCATTCAGTTGACAAACTGATATAGTTTAGACTGAATATTCCGATCACTTTGCAAGTCTGCATTATCCAGGCCACAAAGTGCTAAATTCCAAGTAGTAAAGATATCGGCAGGAAATGAAAGGACAGTGGTGCACGTATAATTGATTCAGTAGACCTCTATCCGGGATGAATCTGCCTGCCCATCAAACACTCACAAAGAGAAGATCTGTAACAAGTACTGGGAAATACGAGCAGACACAGGCTGATCAAGAGAGTTGCATCCCATGCTAAAGCCAGCTCTGACTGCGCCGGGCATGCTCTCGTGTCGTGCTACAAAACACCAGCTTATCATACTTGGCGCCTCCTATTACGTATCTGAATTTGGACAAGGTGGACGGTAAGAGGAATTTCATCTTACTTGGCTACGCCTAGAAGTTCATTCAGCTCATGCCTGGCTGCGAAGATCTCGATAACAAGGTCCTCTAGTCCCGAATCGTGACGATCTTCAATCTCAAACGAATGTGTCTCGTTCCATGTTGGTAATGAACCTTGATCTGCCAGCACATAAAACTGTGTGTGAGAGTGACTTTTGACTTCTTTTCGTCGACTCTCCACCTGACCTGGAGGTCCAAAATAGTCATTTTGGTAACACGTCACGGTAATGGACTAGAAGGACAGATGGATCACGCGACTGTACCGTACCTTTTGCAGTTCTTGTTGTAAATTGTTGTTTGCCACATATCAAGGTGGCATACGAGTCAGCAGGATCTGAGATCACAGACTCATGTTAGAGAAAGCGTAAGCAGTGAAGAAAGCTCTAAGAAGAGCAGATCGCTCACTCCGATAACTGAAGCTAGGGTAGATCCCTATCATCATCATGATCATCTTCGCCGCTTTCCATGTATGTAATTCAGCCGCTCGAACACGAAAAACCAATTGGATCCAGATAGGCAAAATGCAAAATGCAAATCCACCCTCACTCAGAAATGACTCTCTCACCCGTAATCGTCCTGGATCATCAAACAGAGACAAGCCGATGAGCAATCAACTCAACCAACCGTGGAATGAACAAACGGGCTACAACGAAACACACGACAATCCCATCATCCTCATCAGCATAGGCAATCCATCGATCCAAAACCATACACCCTGACTAATTCCACACGAGAGTACAAGAGAGGGCCGAGGAGCCATGAAAACGAAAGAATCGACAGACACACACCCGCTTCGGATCCACCCTGTGTGGTAGAAGGCAAGAGCGTCGCAGAAACGAGTGTCACATGCAAAGTCCCTGCTTTAGCCATGGCCACCACCAAAACCACCCTCCTCCTCTTCCTCCTCCTCCTCCTCCTTCTGATCTACCGATCCACAATACGTAGAGCTACTGCCAGCGTTACTCGCCCCCTTGTTTCCACCCTCCCTTCCTTCCTTCCTCCCTCCCTCCCTCCCTCCCGGCAATATCTTTCTTTCTTGCTTTCCGCTCCCTTCCTCGCTTCCGCACACGTCGACCACGCACGGACAAACCCACTCACTCACTCACTCAATCAAGCAAGCAAGCAAGCAAGCAATCAATCAATCTATCGTTCCAAGCTTCGGCTTGTACCTCGTCCTCACCACAACTCAGTCCGTCCCTGTGACTCACTCCCACCGCACCCTCTCTCCTCCTCCTTTCCTCCTCCTCCTCCTCTTCAAATTGATTTTGCTCAACAAAAATTCCGACCCATAATTCCTTGTGCCATTGCAATTGATGAGTCCAAATTGATCATTCAGTAGTCGCCCATGCGCTCCTCCCTCCCTCCCCCCTCCGCCCTCACTTTCTCTTATCCTGGACCTCAAACATTAACAGCGCCCAATTGCCCAATCGCCCAATTGCGCAATTGCCATGCCACTGCAATTTCCCTTCCGTCTCCTGTCGCGCGCGCCTGCTCTCTCTCTCTCTCTCTCTCTCCCTCTCCCTCTCCCTCGCTGCTCCGTTCTTTCCGAACCAACGATCCGGACGAACCCGGGGCGGGGCGGGGCCGGGCCGGGCCGGGCCCCAGGCCGAGCCAAGCTGAGTCTGGCGAGCCTGGTGGGCCCGTGGGGGAGCTGCTGCGGCGTCCCAAGTCCGAAGTCCGAGGTCGGAGGTACGGAGCGGGGACTTCGGACACTTTTCGCCTTTTCTGCTTTTCTGTCGGACTCTGCCGATTTTTGCATTTTCTCGCTTGTCCTACAAAGACCTTGTAATACACCAAAAGTGTGGGGACGCATAAAGTGGTGCCGGCGTGAGACCAGTCGGCTCGATTTGGCCTCCTAGCCCGAATAGCATAACACTGTGAAACCTATCCTGTTGTAAAGTCTGTCTATTTATGACATGAGCATACCATCGACTATCATTTAGCTTCTGTGGATTGAATCCAGTAAAGTCGAGCATTGGATATATATAATTTTTGCGATATTAATAAAAAGGTCTAGTCAATGACATGGATATGAGAACTGTTGAAAAGACATCATCGAACAGAGCAGTGGATAGATCTCCACTGTATCGCGATGAAACTTATGTTCTATGATTATTATCATATCCTAACTTTCAAAATAAAACCATCTATAAACACCAAGAACAGCAATTAATCTTGTGTCTAAAGCTGACGATTGCCCTACCTTATGATGATCTACATAATAACCTCAAGAGAGAATGACACCCTTTTTTCTCTTTGTATTTTACTAATTTTCAAACATGTTGTAATCAGGTCTCAAGATACTTATATTTTCTAAGCTAGATATTTCGGTTTTTTTCTCTAGCTCAATAGCTCTCATTGAAAACCGCGAATTTTATTGTAATGAAGGGTAGTCATCACACAGAAATTCCCTTTGTATCCTTATTTATTGATACTACACCAGTTTATATAACAAAGGCTACGTTCTGTTTCATCACTCAGTCAAAGTATGAAGACCAGAAAATTGATCTCACCCTACAAAGAATTCATCAGTCTAACATAGTAGTATGTTTGAGTGTCAAACTTATAAAGGACTTGCCCTCCGGGCATATGCATTATAATTTTAATCTCAATGTAGTCAAAGAATCTAACTTTGAACGGTGCTGAAGTGAAACGAATGAAACGAACAGAAGGTCGGAGAAACACGCCTAGTTGATAGAGGTTAAGAGAACTCACTTGGGGGTGATCACATTTCCAAGAGTATCTATTGAGTATCTACCCGTTTGTACGGTATAAAGTAATACAAATACAAATGCGTATGTGATCAGTTTACAAATACACTCCGTAAGTGTAATGCATTATAAAAGTAAAATATTTATGTATAACTCAGAAATTCGAGTTGGTTGAAATGACATGTTTTTAGTTTTGCCAATGTAAGATTACAGAGTGACATGTCAACATATAAAAATAATTTCCAAGGTGAGTGGTCATGACAAGACCTTATACATTGTCATAGATGTAAATCTACTTCAAATATTTGTCTCTACAAAGACACGTATTTATGGATTTCTAAAAGCATTTTGTTAGCAGAAGAGAAATTCTGAACTACCACGATTTGAACATAAAACACATTTTGTTCCCTTCTGTATAGTGTGAGGTGATTGATAGAGACCTAGAAGCTCAAGTTTAAGTTGGAGTTAACCCAAATCTGACACATTAGCCTTTAAAAAAACTCCAACAGTGCCGCCATACATATTATTTTATCTCATGCACATACACTGATGTTTCATGAGTCATGAATCATGACACATCAGACTATCTAGATTATGACGCACCAACACAGATACATTACACTGATATTCTCTACCCTAAAAACGTTCACGAGTAGATTCATTCAACTAGCTCCTCTTGGACACATTTTTGCAAAAGATATTCGGATTTGGGCATTAGGGTTTAGGAAAAACTAATAGCACATTCATTGCCTAAGTTGCGATGAACTTCCAGTGGATGAAGTCAGACATAAATTCACTGATAAAATGCAGAAAGCCGACTTTTCTGATAGACCAATGTACGGGTGTGATAAACCCTTTATGCTGCAAAAGCATATTTTTTTTCCGCTCGGGGAACTATGGCTCCAGCTTCAAGACTGCATGGCAGTCCGTTAGACAGTTCAGATCAAATGTGCGCAAGAAAGGGAGGGAGGGTCAGACATTGTGCACCATGCAAAAGTACGCAGAGACGAGGAGCATGAGGTCAATGCTCGCTGCCTTCAATAGCGCCTAAACGAGCACAGTCCTCGTCGTCATGGCACTTTGATTCCATATGTGAGCATCACTCAAGGTTCTTTGGAACGTTCAGTTGCCTCGAATCCTCGAGTCGAGTATAGAGTGCTCTCCTGCCGGTGTGCAAGATGCTAGTGCGAGATCAGTACGTCTAGTCTTGTTTTTAACCTAGATTTGTCGTGCAAACAGGTTCCAGGATCTCTCTATCCTACCTATGGCAACAAGGCTCTTGGCGCCTCAGAACGGATGAACTCCTGCACACTGACGTCAGTCAGGAACAACAGGTTATGTCAATTTGCGATGGGAGGTCTAGGATCATTGACTCGGTGGTGCAGGTCAAAAGTCTTGCTTCTGATGTACCCATGCTATGTCCTAAACGATAATCTATGTAGACATTGGACAACCTCCTTTTTTCATGTATTTCGGTATAAGACACCCCTTGATCTGCCCGTAAAGATGGTGGACACATCATGGTACAATTCACTTCTTGTTATCGTGGCCTGCAATTTACAGAATCTGATTGATTGTTCTGATTGTTCTACTTCTCGTCTTTATGAAGGCTATCTAAACCCCGGTCGTAGCTGAGATTATTTTCTGAAGTTTCCATTTCTAGGATTCCTGAGAGATCGGTCAGTCAACGCTGTTGCAAGTGTGGAGCCGAGTAACTGGAGGAAGGCATATTTCCTGCGGTGCTTTTTCGTACACCACGTTATGAAGAGCAAGGAAAGGTGTTTCGAAGTTGTAAGTGGCCCGCATCTTCATCTTGGTCTCGAGGAGTGCACAAAACACAAAGTCTAAAGAATGTTCCCTCAAAGTTCTGGCGCTGGTCACATGACCTGCGTATATCCTCTTCGACACTGCTTCTAATTTCACACACTTCACTTACACGCTACACGCAACGAGCTCTTGTCCAACATTATTTACGACGGTTACCCGGAGAGAGCATCGTTCGTACTGGGAACGTCCCTTTCTACCTCTTGAGTCGATTATCCGAGTATCATATGAAAAGGGATCTCGGCGTCAGTGCGCATACTCAAAATGCTTGAAAGGATGAAAGTTTGCAATGTGCATGCATGAGAACGTGCCCTTGTGCAAGACATCTACATGTTACATTGGTGTGAGCTTCTCACTCTTCTGCTAACGCCGTATGATGTATTGCCTGGTGGAAATGGATTTGTGGTGACAGGATGTTAACTTGACGCATAGACGACTCAAGGCAAAAAGTTACGGAAATTGTACCAAAACATTGCGGATGATGCATCGAGCAGGCCAAGGTCGTTGGGGTTGGTCGTCACACAATGGGAAACATTTGGGCATTGTTTCGAGATCTGAAGCATCCAATCAATCAACGAAGCCAAAGGAAACAGTCAAGAAGAAAAATCCAAGGAAACAGCTAAAGACACAAAGAAAAAGTCTCAAGAAAAAGTCCGCGAGGTGAGTACTGATTCGGTCAATTTACATAATGAGACCAGAAATCGTACGCGGCCAGCCAGCATGTAAATAGGTTACGGCGCAACGACTAAATTGCGCATTGACTGGCTTCGCTCTGACAGGTATAAACTGCTAACTGGTCTAAGACGAAAATCGGACGCATGCTTACAGAGCCATGACTGACATGGCTCGAGAAGATCGTCCCTCGTCCCTTTACTGCTTCTGGTCTCAAGGCGACAAATCTTGTCTAAATCTGACGATGGAATCAGCCACTCCCAAACGTTTTAGAGATGACGACCAAGGACAGAAAAGCTGCTCTACTGAGAATCTGAGGATGGTAATCTGAAGCGATTCCACGAGGTTAAGGTGAAATCGCAGGTTTGCATGGATTCAGAGAAATCTTTTAGTGATTCTGGTTTTCACGACTCTGCCAGTTTGGCGAGCGCCTCAGATGTCCTACGGTTCAGAAAATGTGGACGTACATGATGATCGGGTCCCTATACTCAGAAGATCGGGCAGTCAGTCGGGATGTGCTGGGTGTGTCAAGGATTGGACGTGCAGCCGCGCACATCCGAGAGGAAAGTGAGTCTCCCGAGGAAGGTTTGCACATTCTCCCTTGGGAATGGCACATCGACACGGGTGATTCCCTGGTGCAGGAGCGGAGTGGAGACACTCGTCTTCAACCCCCTAGACCGTAAGTTGGCAAACTCAGCAAGGCCTATGTGTCCGCGAGGACGATCAGAGGGTTGCAGGGTCCTGAGAGCCGGCAGTCCCTGAAGAGAAACCAGCTCAGGGGATCCACTTCATGGGCCGGGCCGGGGTGAGGCGGGTGGGCGGATGACCAGAGAGTTGAGAGAGTGTGTGTGTGCGTGCGTTTGAACCGATCGTAGTGAAGTCACCAGAATGCACACGAACAAACCCACTCACACACGCACGCACTCACTCACACGCACGGACTCGGTGATGGTGGAAACCATCTTCCAGAGAGAGGCGAAGAAAGAATTCTGGTGGGCCACAATGATCGGTATCCCACGATAGTATAAAGAGAAGACACCAAACATTCCACAGAAAGGAGATGCCAAAGCCAAGCCTGCCAGCCATCCAACAGAATCAGGGAGGCTGGCCGGGGGAGGGAGGAGTCGAGAGGCAAGCCTCTCAAGTAGTAGTTAGAAAGGGGAAGGGAGGATGTGTATTTCCGAAGTTCGTGTTATTCCTCAAAAATGGGATAAAGGCATATGTTGTGTAGGAGTATGATGCCAGGTCGCAAACAATCTGTTTTTATTGGAATTTTTTGGAAGATTTTCTTTAGAATCCTCGAAGCTCGAAACAATGTCCTTACAAAGCCCCATAAATTGAGAATGTAAGTTGTGTAGGTGGATATAACAAAGAGACCACCCGCCACTAAAATGGGTTTGTAGGAGAGTAAACAGGGTTGAAATACCAAGTGGTGCGAGGTCTCCATAGACATGTCGTCCTGCAAACAAGGGTATTGAAGTTAGGGTCCAATATTCTCAAAACATCAATTAGCAGAAGGTTGTAATAACCCATGTGTGTTCATGGTGTGGGAATCAGACAAGGGTCCTTTAGTCTCTCGGGGAAAGTAAAACATAAGAAACATCACTTTGTCTCAAATGGGTCGCAATGTTATTATTGATACGCCTGGCAAGAAAAACTTCAGTGGCTACATGCCTCCCCCACTTTCTCAACACCTTCCTTGTGGCTGCCAAGCCTTATGAGAGGAAGAAGGAAGTTGCTAAATTTAGTGCACCCGCACTTGGTCAACTGCAGAACCAGGTTCATGACATGATGCCCCCACAGCTCTTAGCTCTGAAGAAAGCCTCCATTATTACCTGGAGGGCCAGCTTCACTTCCGCCTTCAGTGGGTTTCAGGTCATTGCACCACTTTCCGGTGTGAAGATAGATATACCTCTTCTGGTGGCTGTCTAGGCGTGTCTTGTTGGAACAGTTGAGTGCCTCTACAGTTTAAAAAGTAGACCTAAACAAACTTTCACAAAATTTCAACGATCCACCAGTGTTCAAGTACAATCAGTCCAGCTTCTTCATCTGCTGATTGCTCCATGACAAGGTATGGCGAGTGAAAACATTCTCGAGAAAGCTCAGACTTATCCTGCCATCACATCCGTTCCTCTGCTGGAACTTGTCACATTCATTCCTTTGCTGAATTTCACAAGCGTCGGTAATTGAATGCAAACTCAAGCAATGTCAAGGTGGATAGATAGAAATGAAGGTAGATTGATTGGTGGCAAGTCTAGGCTGGCTAATCATCAATGGTTCACCTGACAGTGAGATACATACGTCACAATTTTCTAGTCAGAGATGCTCAATGCTCACATGTATATATGGACAGCTCAGTCATGAGTGGAAGTCATGCACTGAAAATAGCAAAGATTTTGCAGAGCTCACACAATTGGGAAAGACCTAAATAAATAGGTGTCACCTCATAGCAAGGCGGCTTTAGTCCCAATTCGTGCACTTGGAAGGACCCACCAACATTGTTATCTCAGTGTTTGAGTAACAATGTACGAGAAAATACACAGGACAGCTCAGTACTTTAGTTGTGACACTCATGACCAACCCCGTTACTTTTCGTCTATACTTTCATGTCATGCATTGCATACCAGAATCAAATTATGCACAGTCCTCGCAAAGATCGAAAATAAATGAAGCGAATTATGCAACAATGAGCAATTCTCTTCCATCTACCGACTCCCAACCTGATAGATATCTTTCAGGACGTAGTTCGCAGTCTTTCACATAAGAAATAGATATGAGACTCCTGTATCTCACGAGACGATGGACAAGGCTACAGACTTTCACAGGGTGTCAGTCATCCACATGTGGTCGAGGCTGCTAGGATAAACTGGATGCTTAACAAGATGTTAAATCCTAGGCTGAAATCTGTATCTGAACAAACCCTTGAGAGTTTGCCTCCCACGTTTGATTCCTCAAGTAGAGGAAGGATTGAAGCTCGTTACAAGGGACCAATTCTCGGTTTGGTTAAAAGGTACAAGTTCACAACACTCTGTAGAAACGCTTTGACCAGAATAATGATCAAAAGTCCTAACTAACCATATTGGAACTCAGGAAGATTAAATTTCACCCCTAATACAGCAACAACAGATCCAACGAAAATGAGACTAGAGTGTGTCTGCAGAAAGAGAGTGTGGATGCGGACAACGATGATCCCTTTGTTTACATCATGTTGTCCACCTGGCTGACAACTACCTTCACTCACTAAACATGGTGTATCTGTGAATCCATCTGTAATACGGAAGCTCCTCATATTCAAAGTGTACAATATCTAAACCAAGTCCAAGAATACCTATGCGAAGGAAGCTAAACAACGGCGAAAGCATCTCAACCCCTTTTTCAAAGTAAAGGGAAGACCATACCAGGCTTATTCTCACAACAATCATGATCGGCAATGACCAGTTCAAAACTTCTGCAAAAACAGCCTTCTCTCACAGAGGCCATCATAAAGCTCCCAACATTCACAATGCAGTGCAGAAATCAAAGCAATAGCCCTATTATAACTGTCATATGCAAAAGTGCAACAGCTCAAACTCTACTGAAAGCTGCTTTGCAACTACTGATTCAACCAACTGGTCCATTGCAGTAGGCTAGCCCTTCAGTATATAAACATTACATTGCTCCAGCTCCTCCTGCCCCCTGCATTGGACCGTCTGTGCGGAATCCTCGGCCTCTCCCTCGTCCCCTTCCTCTACCCCGCCCACGCCCTGCAAAATGGCAACACAAGTACAGATGAAGCTTCTCGACAGAAACTCTCATCTCCAGAACATCAGTACTTACAACCATCGTGAATGATTGTCATCTGTGTTCCCTTGGGGAATCAGGTATATTGTCGAGGCCAAGGGAACAGGTTTCGATCCTCAACAGGATCCACAAAAGTGAAGGTATAGTTTCGCCCTATGACATTCATTCAAGCAAAAGGAGCTAGAAGCTGACATGAACGCAATCACAAAACTCTTCGGTTAAACTCGAGTTGCCAAGGCAAAAACGCGTATCCGTGCTGGTGCAACATAAAAGGAAGCAGAGCAAGAACTTGAAGGGCTTCTCCAAATGTTGACAGATCAGTGAAGCGTATAGCCCTCACCTCCAAGGGTTTTCATTGCAGCAGTACCTTCAGTTGTGTCACCTGCATCCAGTGAATGATACAGTCAGATAATGTATCCTCATACTATTTCCATCGATGCAAGTCCCCATAACTTACAGAAAGATAGAAGATCATACTGGCATCTTTATCATCAGCTTGCGTATCTAGGTGTATCCGAGGTAAAATTCACTACGAATCAAGTACATAAAGGCTTACCTCGACCACGCGGAGCTACATCGGCACCACCAGCACCTATGTCATCATAGCCTCCTGCCTCTTGCTGTAGGTCTGACCCACCAAAGCCTCTGCCGCGACCCCGGAATGCACGCCCCCTACCTCGGCCGCGACTGCGACCTCGACCACGACTCCATCCAGCATCAACGCCATTATATTCTCCTGTCGGAGTGCCGTTACCTGCAAATGACACCCAAAAATCCATGGTAAGAAAAGGTTCGAGACAGAGAAGAGCATGTCTTGAAGTAATAGACATTCTCTTGAATTTTCATGAGGGTGGATCAAAAAATACCACCTCCTCGGCCTCTGCCTCTCCCACGGCCTCGACCACGGCCCCTTCCACCACGAGGTGAACCCTCTGAACCCCCCAAAAAAAGTGAAAAAGGATAGAAGGTTAGCTGTCACTAAGAGTTTTAACAAAGGAGGAACTCCAATCGAAAATACTCCACATCTTATTTGATGGGAAATGAAACTGAGTCTTTGAAGCCCTGCTTTTGAGACTGAATAGATACAAAGATTTCTATTACACTCCACTCCCCTCAGGTATGAAGTTTAAATGAATTCATACCACCTCCTTCGAAGTCGAATTCTGCCAACGGCTTCACTTGATCCGCGGGAAGTGGTGGCTGATATCTGATAAGTGACAAGAAAACCAGGATCAGTTGTTGCAAACAAGGACACAAACACCGTTGAAACACGCACACAACGCTGAAAGGAAAAAGCAAGCAGAGAAGATCTTCCGATATGCATCAGACGTATTCAGTGGAGGTTCAGCACATACCCTGTAGAAGTCTTGTCAAGCTCCTTCGTTGACAAAGTTATTGTTATCATAGAAACGTGTCGTGTAGTTTCCAACCTGTAATGACAACATGTTCGTAAACTAAGATAACTGGAATATCTTCAGACCAGAATTGAATTGTACTTCAGAGGTCTATCTATCCGAGCTTGAGAGTGCAGCTAACTAAGATTGTGGAACTTACGGAAGCAGGCCCTCTTCAAGTGGTTGCCAAAGGTCCGTGATGTCAGTGGAACCAATGGACGTGTTCTGGTGAAGGCCCGCAATCCTCCTCTGAAAACAGACCGAAGTTTGCAATATCAGTTAGTGACCACATCAAATTTCAAACGTACACTGCCCTCCTCGCCCCTGGCAGGGACACTCAATTTCGCAATTGCAGGGAGAGAGTACCGAGTCCAATCATCGCTGGCTTTCTCATGCAGGTACGTGGAAACGATATTGCTTCAGTAGTACATGCTCACCTTTATAATCTCAGCAATAGTGACTGTCTTGTTAATAGCACGACCCATAGCCTTCAAGACGATCTCTGAAGCACCCTTGTCCTGATATTTCGATCACAAGTAGAACACCTCAACGTCATGGTCTGGCAACATCTTCGGCATCAGTACAGGCCTGAACTCCCCATTAATTACACATCAGTTGCTCGCTTCAATTCATCATAGGTACGAGAACTGGCATTTCAGGGTTCTCGTTAGAAGAATCAGCTGGCTCGATGGCCGATAAACATGTTTCACGATACCGAAGAACCAGAAACCAGGTAGCCTCCACATATGTAACTCCCAAATATATCTGCAGGACAAAGATGTTCCTCTCCCGGATTCTTTCGGTAGGCTATATCCTCTACACAGGAAAGACCTCGACCATGATCTCTAAAAGCGGGGGGCGATTACACGGATACTGTACTAAACACGCAGAACAGATATACCTAAAGGCCGCGCTCTTGTACAGGTACATTCACTTGGTGGCAGACGAACCCTAATATTTTAAGTTCGGCAGCCTTGGATAATAACTGCAAGAAAATCGTCAGTGAAGATCTCCGGACTTGACAGAAGACGAAATGACTGAGGACAGCTTGTAGATCCGCAATTCCCGCAGAGAGGAATAAGTGAAAACATTCACGGCTTTGTGCTAATCTGAGAACGATATGCCTCAATCGGATGAAAGATGAATCCCGTCATAGGCTCCATCGATATGTCTTGTACCAATCAGATCCATAATATGCCTCGACGTCCATCCAGATTCGTGATCGGCCGTGTACCAATGATCATGGGACAAGAAACAGGAAAGGGCTTTAACCGTAAGGCCTGGTGATTGAAAAACCTGGGTTCTTCTCGTACAAAACGTATACCCTACCGGAAAAGCATTCGGTTGTTCTATGCTTTTCCTCCACTTCGGATCCAGCGTAATGCACAGCGGCCGATTGACGGCTGCCCCTGTTCCAACGGCCACTGTAAACTAATAGTCTATCATCCGGCGGAGGGTCTCAACTCCAGATTCCCACTCCAAAGCGAGGGTTTAGTCTACTGAACCGAAGATGCCAGGGGCGTTAACAGGATCCCGAGACTTCGAGGGCGTCACTGGTGTCCTCCAAGCGTGAAAATCTGGAGTGAGTGTTCACCACGCTGACAGGCAAGACACGCCGATGACAACCGCGGGTGACCCTGGGCTCACGAAAATAAATTCAAGGAGAAACCCTTATGGGTACGAGGGCCTTCTGAAAATATGCAGTTCATGAGAGTCGTATGCAGTCTCTATCCCTCGGCTGAACATCCATAATCGGAACGGCCGACAAAGGAGGAAACGCAGAAGCGCCGGAGAAGGTATGCCAAACAGCAGCACGAAACCGATAGTCCTCTACATACAAAAGTAGAATGAAGGAAAGCGGAAAAAAATAGGGAGTCGATAAAAAACCTGAAGAAGTGTCGTCGCATATGTGATGTAGTTACGCATCTTTCCCTGAGTGGTGATGCGGATCTCATTTTCGCTTATCGGAGTCTCTGGCCGGGGTTTCTCTACCCTTTGATACCGATCCATAGCTCGTTAGATAAACAGCAATCAGATCCTGTGTTCTTGGATCTCAAGAAATATGTATCTTGGCCCCTCTCGGTTTTACAATCTTCGCAGCGCGTGAACAATCGGCGGATGGCCAACAGCGGGGGAGCGTAAACTGGATGAGAATCAAAGCCACCACCAATTTGGTAATCAATGAGCACATCAAGATCTAGCCAAGAAAGCAAAGCACAAAGCAGAGTGACGGCCAAAAACGCCAATAACTGAAAAGGAGAAACTGAGACTTCTCAAGATTGAAGCGGACAAAAGCGGGTGGACAAAGTGTCAAAGTGCCTGCCCCAAGCGTGCGTGCACGCGCCTACGGTAGCTAATGCGAGACAACTACAGGGACGAAAGCAAATTGCGCAACACAAATGAGAAACAATGGTTCGGAGTTCCAACAGAATACACAAGAGGCCACGGTGAATCAAGATTACGATGGTGACAACGAAGAACGGAGACAGAGGCGTGCGGCAAAATCCTGAACCAAATCTGCAATTTCAAAGAATTCCTACAAGTAAACGCTGAGCATAGGCGCTTTTGTTCCTTCTCCCCACAACTGAAAGCAGACAAAAAAACCCGAATACTAGCTACCGCAACCAGGGAGATACCCGCTTCAGTGTATGACCAAGGCCGTAAAGGAGCCTATCAAGTATGTAAAGATATAATAACACCAAGTGAGTGTGCGGCCAAAGCCTGGTTATAAGAAAGCCTAGCGGGCACGGATTCGAAGGACGACTCCCGGTGTGTGTGATGAACACACTCCTCCGTGGCAGCCCCCAAACTTCTCCGGAATTATAATCTAAACTTCAAAAACCTCCACAGAATTTCTATATTCAATAAACCTCGCCAGTTAATTGCGTCTATCTTTACTGTTCGCCTCAGGCTTGGGCGCCCCTTCCCGGCCTTGGGCGACTCTGGTCGGGCAATCGATCTTAGCTCCTCGCTTCGCGTCGAACCCGCGCGAGCTCACAAGCAACCAAGCCAGACTCGATTGATGGATGACGGGATGACGTCGTACCGCAGAATCAATCTCGCTCTCGTCCGCTCGTCCCGTCCCGTCCCGTCGCTCACCGCGCTCTCGGTTATTTTAATTGCCCCAACAGGAAAATGCGTATATTATTGTAAAAGCGCCACGCAAATTACCTGTCAATTAAGCTAACTCTGCCTCGGCTCAACCGCATACAGGCACAAAGATATGATTATTCAATTAGCGCAAACCTCGAGTTTCCTTCTGCTAACCTTTCCTTTGCCCTACTCCTCCTCCTCCTCCTCTCCTCTCCTCTCCCCTCCCCTGCCCTCCCCGTTCCTTTGTCCTCTCCTGTTCGCTGCGCCTCGAGTTGCGTCGTCGAGTTGCGTTGCGTTGCGTTGTGCGCGACCCCGTCCTGATCCGACGCCACGAATGCCGATGATTGATGCGATGGTGTTCCGAGCCCCGTCCCCCACCTTCCGACCCTTTCTTCCCTTCCCTTCCCTTCCCTTCCCTTGCCTCGCCTCGCCTCGCCTCGCCCCTTCCCGTCCTCCTCCGCTGCCCCGTTCGCCAGATCTCGAAAACAGGGAGTGCAGACGCCCGAGGGAGCGAGGGAGCGAGGGAGCAAGACGACGGACGAAGACGGACGACGCTCCTCCTGCTGCAGCGGCAGCAGCCGAGGCCAGGCCTGGCGATGCGGGGCGGGGCGGGGCGGGGCGAGGTGGCGCGGCAGCGAAACTATCCCTTCCGTCGCCCTACTGCTCCTCCGCTCCTCCGCTCCTGGCCCCCTCCTCTTCGTCCGTCCCTCTGCCCTGCGATGCCCGTCCCTGCCCCACCTCCGCCACCCATCCCGATCGCCAAACAAACTGAACTCGACTTTACGTGGTTTGGTTAGGGCAGCGCCTCACCCCCATCCATACATGCAGCCATCCATCCATCCAGCCAGCCATCCATCCTCCCAGCCAGCCAGCCCGCCAGCCATGTAACGCTTGCCCATCCATCATCCCCAGGTCATCGAACCATGACTCGCGAATCCTCCACGTGCTACTCGGCCGTCTCGTTCGATCATCGATCGACGATTTGGATGCTTCGAAGATGACGCGGTGCGCCAAGCCACCGTGTGAGTTGCATGAGCTGCTACCACGTCCATCGGGCTCCTGGATGGAGTCACACACTTCGAGTTCTTTCTTTCATGAATGTCCCGAGACCCCACGTCCACTGTGCTGTACTGCATTCACTCTTCGGAGCGTCTGTATTTCTGTGCGCTGTTGTATTTCTTTATTTTTCCTCTCTGTCTGCGCAACATGTTCGGAGCATAATGAAGTCGTGTGCATCCATTTTCGATAAAGCAAAGATGACTATACATCTCGAAGGGAAATTAACATATATTTTTGAAAAGTAAACCAATCCGTCAAAGGTAATCAAATGATCCACATGGAATCTTAAAGTAGTTATAAATCGCCCCCACCTAGCGTCATAACTTATAATTACAAATAAGTTCCTGATTCGTAAGGGAATCGCCTAATCCTTCGAGAATCTGAATACCTCTCTTTCATCACACTTGTTCCGCATAAGTGAAGGCCATCTACTCGATGGTCACCTTGAGATATTGTTGATCCCGTTCCACGACCACACGTATGGACCGAATTTTCAACCCTAAACTTTGATAGACCTTCATATCAGTAAATAGTGAACCGTGTTGTGACAGACACCTAGATAAGTACATATGATTCCGTAATTCATTTGCCTCTTCAATGTTTACATACAACTGTGATGTACATAAAGTATAAGCTTTATTCTAGTCAGTGCTAGTGTTTAAGCTGAAAATGGTACGCATGAATAGAGTACAAATTCGAGACTGGGATATAAAAAAAAAGTGTTACCCTTTATACGTGTCAAAACTGATCAATCATATTCACACATGGTTTTAAGAAACAATTTGTAAGAAAATGCAATGTCAAGACCAACAATTATAAAAATAATTTAGAGTGAAATTTGTTGGTTGAAAATATACAATATTTTTCTCGCTTTATGAGTAAGTCAGACTAATCACCTTTTCATTGTCCAACAAATTTGTGCACATTGATCGCCACTTCTACTTCTTAAGCCTTAATTTACTAAAATTACACCTTTGTTTCGAGATTTGTTTTAATTATATTTTATCAATAGAAAAAGGGTGGCGGGGAATGCTTGTATACAAGATATAAAACATGTCAAATATTTAAAACATAACCTCGTTTCTTATGGTTAAATTAAGTATACTATATCAATGAATTGACAAAATTATACACCCTTTTTCAATTTAAACTAATTTGATACATATAAAATTTGCGAATAACTTTTGTATAAAATACCTTTATGTTATATTTCATCCCAGATTTATTATTGAGCACATAAATTATAAACATATTATAATTAAAATTATAAATTATTTATCAAAATATATTTTAAGATTGTAATGGATGCTTTACAATAAAAATTAAATTTTTATACATATTATATTAATATGTTCAGATACATCTTGGTTCTGGAACTAAAAAAAAATATTCAAAATTAAGGTTCTTTATTATCAATGGATATTTTAAGATTTATATGCACATGCGTATAAAGTTTTCTTTACATTAATATTAGTATTTTTTGAGTATTCAAAATACAATAATTTCAGAAGATACCATAATCATTGGGTGGTAAGTTCATCCAACTTCAATGTTACTACAGTGATATGATGTAGTAGTTCACAAATGAAGTCATCTACATAAATTAAGAGATCCTGTAATGTGAAGATCTAAATTCATACATGTTCATTTGTTGACTACACAAATTAAGTTATAAAACTCATCAACTAATTGGGTAAGGGTCTAAGATATTACCCAATACAAAAACGTTTGACCATTCCTTAGAATTATTTTTATTATAAAAAATATTGTTTGTGAATGTGAGTAAGAAATTGTCTAAAAATTTGAATTAGATATGTCTTATATTTTACTCTACTTATTACATGAAAGTTTAAAATTATATTTTAATTTACAGATAAATTTGATGAATAAAATTTCTTAACATTATTAAAATGCAATGTGTAAATACCTATTCTTAAGAAAATTTATCTGTAGGTGGCTTTGCTTCAATTGAACTGTAGGGTTTAAAGTTTTAACAATTCAATAACAAAGAATTTAATAAACGAATCAAAAGCTATGATAAGAATTGATAAGAATTATGATAAGAATTGTTTGATGCAGAAAGATAACTTTGGATAATGATGATGGATGTGGTAGGAAATGTTTATCCCAAATACTTAAAAGTCTATTCAAGTGTTTCCTGAATAATTTTCACAATCCATCTCCTCCCTTCTATTATGTAACTACAAATGACTGACCATTCAACATAGATTGATATTATTTTTCTGGGAAAGAGAAATTGAAGACCTTGTTGTATATTTATTCCAAATATCGTTGTATTAAAACAGTAATTTAATGGAGTATTGGCATACTTTCTTCTTAAAAGATGGACCTGAGTTTTTTTTAAAAATCACAGGTAAACGCTACATAAAACTATGAACAAATTCTGATAAGAGAGGTTTCTGTCAACTTGGAAATAAGAAGTTTATAATGTGCGATGTTCAAAAAAATTGACACTGATGTGCCGAAATATCTCACAGACTATTTTGGTTGTATATTTATTATTTGCATGTTAATATTTGTTTTTTGGAAACTTTTAACGGTTTGTTGGGTTCATAGACAGTAAAGCTCTAGATATTATTTGTCATAATAGTGTCATATAAGTACTTGATGGGAGGATGATTAAGGATTCACATGATCTGACAATGTCCAAATAAACATGCATCCTCTCACTAAATAACATTAGCCACTCTCTCTCTAACTAAATGGTGAAATGTTTGAATGTGTATAGATTTGTCCTTGAAGTACTTCCTTCACATGCATCCTTTCCTTGACATCTATTGAAATGTATGTCAAGTCAACTATCATGCAAATTCATGACAACTCTGAATTTTAAGAGACTCTGTACTTTAATTGTACTATCCTTTAAGATACGGAATGATACCGTGCTTATTTGAGCGTAAAGCGTAATTCCCTTTGTCTGGATACTTGCGTCGATGATGCAATACACTTCATACACTTTTCCTGTATCGCGAAGTATCAGATGTTGGATGAAAGGATAATAGCACAGACATAACAATAGTAGTTGATTTCTAAGATGACATCTTCCATTCGTTTCAGGATGTTAGAACACTTGGTTGCATCACAGTGTGAGTGCATCCCGGTTTTCTATGCAATCAAGTACAGTTAATGCAAATGCGCCGGATGATAAATAAATTATCCACAAGAAATGAACGGTTTTTGACGATAGTATTACTCCGAAGAACGATTTCAGGCGCAAACTATGCTGAGAACTCGGTCGAATGACGCTGGCGTGGTTGAATGCTGTTGTGCCTCCCGCATGGATGCTTCTATGGACAAGACCTACAATCAATCAGTACTAAAGGGTAAATTATATAGGGTAACCTGAGGAATCATGGGTGCCACTATAAAGTACAGCTGTAGGGCGTCGTATCCACAAGGCGTGCGGCTCTAATCAGGGTACTGTGATATTCCCCTAAGCATTATTAAATACTTCCTAATCAGATTTAGTACTGATTTACGTGCACACTAAACGATGAAGCACGAACAGTGGAATTCGGTGAGAAACGCAGGGTAAAAGCAGGAACCATCTTCAGGTAGTAGACCAAAAGCAGGATCTACTACAGTAACTGTCATGAGAAAGGTGGAAATGAGGACGTGCGAAACCAGGCATGGGAAATCTCAGGCTGCCACGCTAGTGCAGGCCCACCACCCGGAGCCTACTATGTTGCATGATGGTACAAGGAGCCATACATGCATGTATGCCTTATCTGTTGCAGTTTGTGAGAATGTTCTTGTACTGCAAACCTTTCCAATTGTCACCGGATGTACATAAATGTCAATCTGTTGGGTACGGGAATGATGGATGGTGGGCCGGTGATTCAAATCCCCATCCATGCTCGTCCGCGAGTTAAGTCCGAGGAACGATAATCAAATGAAGTGCAGTTATATTGACCATCGACCTTTCGGCTGCAGGAACATGAATAAATCGAGACTGCCTTCGGCGTCTCGACGTGGCGATAATATGATTTTCGGTCAGCTAGCCATGGATGATACAGGAGTTGGAATCTGACCTTAGCAGGTTGTGGAGGACTTCTGATCATAGTGCTCTGGGTAGAGCTGCAAATGAAGTTAATGTCCGAATCGTTTGAATAATAGTTAATTTGTTAAATGATTTTACACTACGGCTAAGAAAATTGAACTTTGACATGCTTTGCAGCAAATGAATTTAATATAGTTGTCGACCATTTAGTATGTAAGGGCATGAACATAATATAAGTCGAATGACATGAGTCTAATATATCAACATCAGAGGTCTTGCTTGGGTTGGCCGAGGTAATAATGCAGATGAGATCGCAGGTCATGGCTGGAACGAATCGGGCGAGCCGAGGTCGAGTAAAGAGCGAACGAATCGGTCGAATAAAAAAGGGAGCACGAAATAGTGCGCTTCGAAGAAAAAGCGAGGAACAGGTCCAAACTCCGGTGGGCTGGTGGAGGTTCACTTCAACTACAGTCAGGTCTCGTCCCACACGTTAGCTGCCGCATTTGGCCGCGCACCCCACCACGGCGGCCCGCTCCGCTCCGCTCCAATCCACTGGACATCGGGTTCTTGCATGTTCTACGAGCGAATCTCCCCGCGGCGGGCCGGGTGGAGATGGTGGCGCGGTTCGGAACCGGAGCTGGGCCGCGGCACAGTGAGAGCATCCCTCCCTGGCTGGAATGACAGGGCCTTGGCACGGTCAAGCGTCTCCGCTCGCTCTGGCTCTCGCGACGCTCGTCTGGCTGGCGGGCGCGCTGGCTCCTTCACGGCGGCCGCGTGTGAGCGCGAGTGCGAGAGATGGCGTTGGCCCCGGGCCGCGCTGCTCATGGCCTGTGCTCTCCTGCGTGCCATCCATATCCAAGAATTCCCCGGCGGACCTGCTGGCTTTAGACGAAAGTCGATGTGCAGTACGAGCGCAAGCTGCGATCGCGTTGGACCGGGAGGGATTGATGGCTGGCGCGCGGCCTGGAGGGCGAGATTGAAATTTTCTACCTCTATATTGAGGAAAATGTCCGAATGCTGCCTCAGAATGCGAACGGGGTTCAGTCAGTCGAGTACGGAGAAGAGAGATTGATTGAGATTGGAAGGGGCGGCGAGTACGCTCCTTATGGTCTTTGCTTGAAGTCAAAAGATCGCTTGGTATTTGGCTGACTGGCGAGTGCGGGAAGGGGTGGGGTGCCTCTGGCTGGGTCTCGTAGGTCCGAGGGGATTCGATTTTGTTTTCTTGGTAGATTCCGTTTAGATTTTCGTTTCAGCATGGGCAGCAAAATTGTAGTTTTACGTTTTGCACCTCAACGCACGCAAGGGTGATGTGTTCTGTCCGCTTTGGTGGACTGTGAAGTGGAGCCCCTTGTGGGTGTCTCACACATTCTCTTGCTTGACATGTTCGAGATTGGGCGAGGTCACCGTGTCCGGAGGGGAAGTGGGGTGGGGAGGAGTGAGCTAGTCGCGATCTAAGACGAATTGTTGTACGTAGACTTCTCGTGTCGTTGTATGTCGAAGATTATGCGAACGATGGGGGTTTCGTGAGTCTGCGTTTTAAGGCAGCTCGTCGTGCACAGATATTGTTCAAAATCAGAACTGTCAAAATTACAAAGAAGACCTCCTGCAAGGGAATGACGAGGCCTTAATTCATGATGTAGGCGATGCTTTCTGCAGAAGCAGACTATCCCATTCTACGTGGATGGACTAGTTGTCCACGAAGCCATTCGAGGTCGTGCCTTAGATCACTGGAGCTCGGACCTCCTGTTTCGGAATATTTTCATAGAACGCTGTCCACCCGCTAGACATGTGGAAGGAACGTTTCACGCCAATTTTCTGAGTCTCTCGCACTAAGGAAGTTGGAACCAGAAATGGCTCTCAATATACTTGCTCACTAGCGCCAGTTGACGTACCTGGTCCTTGCGCACTTTAGTCCTGAACCGTGCTAGATTTGATGACGTTTAATGTACGAACGGGGGTTTGGAAGTTTGAATTGCATGGAAAGGTGTGACAGAAACAAACGGTCAAGCTTTGAGGTGACTTTGACTGAATATGAGCAACGTGCACCACTTGGTGAAATTAAGCTCCTGAGCTCCGTCTGGATTCGTGCTTCACTTCCTGATTGCCATAGTCTTCATAAAGGTCACAAACGTTCCGTTCCTTTCGAACATTTGTTTTAGGTCCTCAAGGTATTCGTTCAAGGATAAATGCCTTTCTTCAAAACGTAGCCAAGATACTGGTCGAAATCTACTTCATGTTCAAAATCATGATTGTGATTTCTGTTGGTAGTACAGTCAATGACGGCTCTTCTGTTCACTAAGAAGTTTCTTGCAATACATTTGCACTGACTCAACCGAATCCTTTCTGTCACTCAACCAAATGTCTACAACCGGGGAAACTCTGGGGCTTCTTCATGCATCTCATTCAGGTATAGGGTGATTGATCGGTCGTAGCTCAAAATTCGTCCCTGTACTTGTGACTCCTAGTGAGAGGCAATTACTTGACACCCAAGTTAGCGGAAATGTCCCGATTCGAATTTTGAGTTATGGTGTCGATGGGTGGGTTGTAGTATCAACGGGCAGATACGAACAATAGGAAGCTTAATTTCTCGCCAATTCTTCGACGTATATTCATTGTTGTTGACACGTCTAAAAAAGTGTGATTAAATCCAGACTGCTCGCAACACCATGTTGATCTTACAATGAACTGCGTTGGCTCGATAGGTTTTTCTTACAGTTTGTGATCGTGCTCCGAGGGTCAAATGGTTCGAAATTGCCACGCACATATCGAAACATCTCGCATATTCCGCAGCCAGTCACTCGGGCCCTTAGTGCCGAAAAGTGTAGTTAGAATGTGCGCCTACATTTAGTTTGTGGTGTTTATGGCCATGGTAGCGAGAAGAGTGGGTAGAATGTACGTCTAGATTTGTAGTGATTATAGCCATGTACTTGAAACATAGGTTGTTTCAATTATAATTTTTTAAAAAGAAGTATTGTGAAAAACTTTACACAATCTTCACAAATAATTTTGTCAAAATTTGGTTAAAGTTTCACAATGTTTCGTTCCCTTTTTCGGATTTGAACCCGGGTTTCTCGGGTTCGAATCGGCGAGATACAATACAATTTGTTGCATCCTCTAATATTCTTCTTTGATTCTAACGTAGATAAACTCACCACTTGAAACCTAAAGTCTCATGATAAACTCACCACTTGAAACCAAAAGTATGTTATGATACATAAATCTCAACACATTTTGTTGTATACTCTAATGTTGTTCTTCTTTGATTCTACTGATACCCTATTTAAACTCACCACTAGAGTCCTAAATCTAAAGTCTCATGGCTTTTCTTTTCACTGCGGTTGCGCGGACGTTCCGTGGCTTCTCTTTTGGTGTGTCTTCGGTCCCTCAATTCTTCCGTGCGGCGCTGTTTTTTTCTAGTGAAATCATTTTCTGGGACTAGCATACACTGCAATCGTCGAGTGACTGAGGATCCTAACTGCTCCCTTACCACTAGTATTATCCAGATTTCTACATGCAGTCAATTCTCATGAAGTTCTCGTCAAAGTTCTAACTGGATCTAGTGAACCGAAACCAGCCAACCAGCAAGCCGTAGCAATGAGCTTCAGACCTAGGGTCTACTGTTTGGCCTCTTCTACCTATTTCAATCATTACCTCTGGGAGCTGAACGGAACAACCAACCTTCATGAACACAATGAACACAATGACCTCAAACGCCGAATACACAATGATTTCAAACTCCACTGCGTACGCCAGCGGCATCACCGTTCAGGATGATCAACAGCCTCAGATGTAACCCCATCTTGTCCAAAAAAGAAACATTTATCTGAGAGACTTGGGAGATTATGCATAGAACTTCTCCGGTGGCCTCCATTCAATTAATGAGACCTTCCCACGAATGGCATTCTCTAGGAAAGCACGATAATAGACTCGGGAAGCTTCCAGAGTGATTTGCAATGCGTTGCTAGCTTTCAGCAGCCACGATGAGCAGTTAGGGAAGTTCAGGTGTTGGTTGAGACCGGTACGTGAGAGGCATCTCTTCAGATCAGGGACGAGTTCTGGAGGAGGCGGAAGTTTCCAGAATCCGACTAACATGCTGACTACAGTATTTTGAATTTGAAAGGGTCATCGTCAACGTCTGGTATTGGCGGACGATCTCCGCGTGTTCCTCCACGTATTCTTCCGCGCTGCAGTCGGAGGTAAAACCTCGTCAGGCCCCGAGGGCAGCACCTGGTTTGTCTTCTCTTCGATCATTTTCTTCAAGACCTGCAGAACCCTGATCTTCTCGAGTTTCTGAGGCGACAGTACCTCCCAGTATATACCTGCACCCCAGGTGGCTAACATTAGAAAGTGCCCATATTCGTACGAGGCATTCGCAATTCACGAGAACTTCCACGGTGGAAGACATTGTTCACATACCTTTGGGCTTCGGAATAGAAGTGTTGGTGAATATGGTCCGGGTGGGTGTGCAAATTACGTCAACAGGGACGTCGTGAATCAGCAATTTCTCAGTAGGAATTGTGCCTTCCTCCACTACCTGTAAATCATGAACTGTGCGCACATTCCACGGTATCATCAATCAGATTGTCACCCCAGTGCCAGTAGAAACTATTCACTTCCTCTGCTCAGTCTACGTCGTCAGCCAAGGCTGCAGTGCAAGAAGCCACTGCATATCGGAGACAACTGTGACAATCCTTCGGATCTTGCACCCCATTGAATAGGGAAAATAGGTCTGTGTGGCTGGACTACTAACAGAGCATCAATTTACTGTATTCTGTGCTACGATTGTTCTGCGACTGACGTCGTCGCGTGAACATTGCTCATCACGACGTGGATTGGGTTGAGTTGAGCAAGAAACGTCTTGTGAAAGCACCCAAGACATACTTGACACACAATTTACTTCAGAATGCTCAAATAGCTTCAAATGGACGGCAAATGAAAAGCGGCTTGTTGGAGCAACCTGAAGTGACAACCAATGTGTTGTCATCGATGGCCCCCATGTATCTTAGCATTCCATATTCCAGTTCAGCGAAACCCTGCTTTGGGTGATCACAGTGCAGCTTCCAGTTAGAACAAACGAAGCACGCCAAACTGGTTCTGTTCATTACTACATTTGATATATAATGGATGCCAACATGGATGGATGGACGGACACATGTTCTTCGGAAGATAATTTTCTCCACGACCAATTCGTCCTGTACTGTACTCTGGTTAATCGCAGACTTGCCTCACAGCAACATTGCTACGGTGCATCTGATGTCTTGGCTCTGGCTTCATTGTGTGCACTGTGCAGGCCAAGTTGCATTTTCTTCAGGGATCTTTTTGAGTTCGATTCGTGAGGAGGCCCATCCGAACACAGCTAACCATGGGCAGCTATAGTGGAAATTTCTCAGCAACAGCACAAACCCTCTTGCATTGTGGGAGCATTGAAGGGGCGCTGAGCTGGCGATCTAAACTTTGTCTTCGGCAGTGGGACCCTAAGCGAAGATACGAACTGATGTTTGCAGATCAGAACATGGAGACGAGTGCATAGAGGGTTGCTGCTATTAATAGGGGAAGGAAGAGGAAAGGAAAAGAGAACAGACGGGCACAGTACCTCCCCTTTGCCCAAGCGAGCTCCAGTGGAAGGGTCAACCGCAACAGAGCCGATGACGATCAGATCCACTCGCAAGGGTGCATCAAGTCCTACAGGCGTTCCATGCTTTGCTGCTCCAGCAGACGTGCAGGCTTCGATTATCTGGACTCCAGCAGGTAAGTCTGCAGCTTCCAGCGTTGAGAAAAACCCTGTCCGAAGCCTGGGCTGGGGCGTTAACAGCGTCTTTCCTCCTGGCATGTGGAAAAGAGGAGCATGGTTGATGCGCATCAGACAAAACTCATATAATCTTTGATTCATATGCCCACTAGATATCAATTCCCCAGCCAAAACCAGCGCACCCTCCAATCCTGCCTTTTCCTCCGGCTTCTGCTACGCCTCGAGTCTCTCAGAAGTACATCCTGCTGACTAGTTGGTTGACCTGCGTAGTTTACTGCCCTCCCAGCTCCCTGATTTTGTCGAATTCACATTTGCTGGCCCTTCTCCGAGCATTCTGGTCAGGATACACGCCTTGATTCGCAAGAGTAAGGCCTGTCCTAGGCTTTGAAAGGTCAAACCTCGAGAATCGTCGTCAGCTTTTGTCTACGGCTCACAAGATCCTCACTCTGGAATCATCCAATGGCATCAAGGCGTGAATGACTTACCAGACAAGGTGAGGAACCGCACTTGCTTTTGAGGTGTGTCGGGGTTGACCTTCACGCATCGAGCCGCTTGAAACTCTGGAAGCCTAGCCAACTTGAGGAAGAATTACAGATTCTCAGATAATTTGCAGTCGATAAGCCTGAGGTATTCAGTCATGAGATGCCTCCGCAATTTGAGTCCAATTTTGTGACTCATGTACGGCATGGATATCCGAGGAACAACCCAGCGTGCAATTCTTTCACGATTACTAAACGTAGATACCTGATGCTTCAATCCTATTGCGCCTTTGCGGTTTCGCATCTCAGAAGAGGCAATTATGGATGAGAGGTCCAGCGATTCCTCGCAACGATCGCGGCTTCCGCCCCCATCCTTTGAATCAAATTACTACATTCACTAAGCTCATCACATGTACGGGGCTGGTATTTAAAGATTCAGAGATGTATGGACTAGCATGCAGATATGGACTCTCGTTGCTGAGATCATAGTGGCAAGCAGCATCAACGGAAAGTCGAGCCCAGGACAGCCCCAACCATAATCATGGGAGATTTTCAGATTCAGATCATAATTTTGAATCATAGCTGTAGAGCCAAGTGCAGGAATGTACCCTGTCAGCAGCAGCGGCCGCTCCTTTGAAATTAGGAATGCGATGGTGCACTGGTCGGGGTTGTTCCGCAACGTTTTGGGCCTCTAAAGCGTCCCAAATGCGCTTACGAATCGCCCACTTCCAAGCTCCAGGCCCTGACCTCTCCTGCTCCATCACTGCAACGGCCGCTACATTTGCTCGTGTCTCCGCGTCGAGTCTCAGCCTCTCTGCGTCATAGTTCGCCGTGTCGAAGCCCTGCTCATCACCCGCCCTGTTCGCGCTGGATTGACTCATGCTTAGCGTCACTCTTCCTCTAATTCCATGACCTTTGCTGCTGTATATGTTCGAATTCAGTGTCCCTCTGTTGCTCCTTACAGTGCTGAGTCCTACTCGCCCTCCCCACCCAAACCCCGCGGTCGTCGCCATTGATAAGAGATCACGTCGTGCTCCCTTCGATTTCAGAGCTTGACCTTTCCTTCGAAAAACATCGAATTAATGCTTTCCTAGAGACATTTTCTTTCAGATTATAATTCAAGGGACAATGTCGACGTTGCTTTTCCAGTACAAGGTCGTCTTTCATCGCGTGCGTGATTGCATCCAAACCGCACACTTCCGGATAGCTAAAATTGAGCTGATCTTTGATTCGTGGACTCATGACAATTCCTACTCGAGTCAATGTTCTCTTTGGCATCTCAGTGCAGTTTTGAGATGGTTGGCTACCCTCATTTTGTGTGCTTGATCAAATCCAAGTCCAATTACACATACCGAATGGGTGGGTATCGTCCGTGTTGCCGCATTTCACATCCACGTGGGGATGGTTCAATGTGTTAATCATTCGGCTACGTTACATTGTCTAGATGTACTCCCTGCCACTGGAGATGTCGCATCCAGCCATGGTCGAACAAGAAACTAGAAGTCATCGAATAGGGTAGTCACGTGAGAACTTAAAACGTACGAGAAAGGAGAACCAGCCACACCCATGTTTTTGAGTAACAAGACATTCCAACTTGCGGTTTCACTAATTGCCATTTTCATTTATTTAAGGTGCCGGTGTCTGTTGTAGCGCCTCACCGTGTTTAGCATGAACATGGACAGGGTGTGTGTATTTGTTTGGAAAGCACGAGTTCAACATCTGCAGGCGAGCTGGGGACGTTGTCCCAAACTCGCGTCACCCAGACGGCCGTGAAGGCTACAACTGCCTCTAATGCGTTAATCAAGCAAGGGGGTGGGTTCGTGAACAAGTAGTTCAAGTCCAATGAGGAGAAGAAAGATTTCACAAATGAACTCAGCAACAGCTGTGAATGTCAGGTCTTTATTTACTCCAATTGTTAGAACATCCATCTGGTTGCATCACAGATCAGGTGTCCACTTATCTCCCCTTCGTTTGTAAGGAGGGTTACCGGCCTACGTTAAAATGCCCAATACCCACCAATAATTCATGTGAGCCCAAGAGCTAGAAACGCTTTGTAGTGGACGGCTATTCCTCCCGACAAAGACGATTTTCAGAATCAGCTTAGAAAATATTCTTCCTAGAAGACCTTGCCATTCAGTAATCGCCAACCACCTTCGCCAGATGTCAATAGAACGAGTTGTTGAAGTTCGACTCGGGGAACCAAGCAGTATAGCAAAAAGAAAGGGAAGAGCCATCAAGTTGAACTCATCCAAACAGGAAACCCATTCGGATGGAAATGCGATTTCCAGATTGGATGATGCTTTGAAATAATAACGTGTGAGTACATAAATTACAGACGACTGAATGGCTCAGAAAGGTCATTGGACATGACATCTCTGAGCGTCGCGCACAAGTTGCATCTCTCGAGTCAATCGCTGCAAAGCAGGAAAATTTCACTTGTATTAATCATCAGTCGGTAAGAAATGTGCTGTACGTAAGATTTTCAGGACTGACAAGGAGAATGGAGTTCTCGAAGATAAATGCACCAACGCTAAGTAGACATCATTCCGTACCTCTCGGGTGTCGGTTGTCCTTAGCAGCTGTAGCTTTTCTTGAGGTCTTATAATTAATACGTTCGCAAGCTGTCAGATACATAAATTTCCAACTGCAGATTAGTTGCAAAGTTCCGAAACTTGCGAAACTAAGTCATATTCCGTATTACCACTTTGCTTTCCTGGAGAATCACATCGCAGGTCTAAGCCCTAGCATCAGTACTTTACGTATATCACCAGTAAGTCATTGCTTCTTCATGGACGCCAGTTCTTGCATCATGTCTAATGGTCAGTAGATTTGTTACTTCACATCCGGGTAAGCTTACTAATTATCCTTACCGAGAAGCTAAACGCCTCAGCTTGAGTTGAGTCAGGCATACTTTCTGCTCGCTTCACCACATCATGGACCGCTCGTCGATCTTTGAAAACGGCAAGAACCATCAGAATTCAGTGCAAGCTGGATAACAACTATGAGAAGCCTCTTCCTTGGTACTCTTACGAAGTTCATGACGAGATACATTCTCTAGCACGCATAGCAAGAACTAATAACGGTCTCATTTTCACCAAAACTCTGTGTACGAGTCTGACTTTTAACTCTGAACCGTCTAACCTCGATGACGCAATCGGCATCTGTCGTAAAGTTGCAGCTGTCGACATAATACAGAGAAAAAGTCTAGGCACCTCGGCATCAGATAATACGTCTTGAGGTTTTGGATTTATTACCACATGTTTGTAGATCGAGCCCACGTTGAAGCCATGTCTTGGCTAGGGTAGATGCGCCTTTCAGCAAAGAGGTCAGCTGAAGAATTCAAACGTGTTCCAGTTTAGTCAACACCTCACACCCTCTTCATACAAATTTGTCCACTCCTAAACTTGGAAATCGAATCATAAAACTGGGTGCAGATAACGCATCACAAGAAAGCATCGAACCTGTTCTTTTTCTCTAGAACCATCTTCCAGAGGAGTATCTTCAAACCACTTCACTTGAGCCACTCGATATCTGGGAAGTAAGAAAAATACTTATAGTTAAGAACAATCCCATGTTTCCTACAATGAGCCAAAAGGGACCGTTAACTTCACCGCCTTTTATTCTTGGGCTTGGACGAAAGTGACACTACAGAACCTGCTGGCCACGAGGACCCCAGTATACAGTATGTACCCACCCGTCTTGCTCCCATGTTTTGGTGATGCTAAAGCGCCGACGTCCCTCAACCTGTAAAACAAAAAGCTTTCAGAGTGTCCAATGCAAGTACTAGTCTTGACATCAAGCCTGTGACTGCGTCTCCTGTTTGAATGATGCGCGGATCCGATTGTAGATGATCTGTAACAACGACTTTACGTACTGCGGGCAACTCTTCATGTGCAAAGCAATCACACTGACCTCTAAGTAGAACCGTCCATCAGGTAAGGGCTGGCACCTGCACGAACATAACTCAAAGACTCAGGCACTTTGGATCTAGGAGTAGCTGACTAATCACAGCAAGAGATCTTTCAAACAGAAGATGAATAGAGAAATACAAGCGGAACCCTTACTCGCAGATTTCCACCTCACATCCTATGTCCGCTAAGACACCTCTTTCTTCAACTCCAACCTGGAAATATAACAAGTAGACCAAAACATGTAAGATCACAGACCATGAATAGTAAGTACACCACTACCAGTAGAGGTCAATCAAAGGTGCAAGTCCGTAAGCTCACCATGCCCATTCGATGGTTCCCTTCCATGACTCGCCGAACCTGAAATACGACATTAAGATGAGCCGTAAGGTTGTGTCACATGAGGAGTAGGAAGGGTGTACGAATGTACGCTGATAGTAACTAGAATGATAGTAACCATGTGTCTACATGTATCACGGTACACGAAAATGAGCAAGAAACTAAAAAGCCTTGATCAATGGACTATGAGTTCCCTACCATCAGCCTGTACCGAGGTTCGAAGATGTTCAGAGACATGCGCTCGCAAGGTAGTACTACATCCATCACGAAAAGCGGTAATATCTCTTTTCCTGGTTGTAAAACTTCATCCATTTCGTCTTTTCTCTCCTTGTATTCCTCAGGGAAGTTGCGTTGTATCAGGTTATTGAGAGTAACACTGTATACGATTCACAAGTTAGAGCAGACAAGGCAGTGAGGATTCACTACACGTACACACAATTGTTGATCTAGCTCCAATGCTCTCTTAGTTCGCGATCAAGTTGTCTTTCGTCTGGAGGATGATGTTACCTGACGGGATAGGTTTTGGGGCTGACAAATAGCACTGTTCTGCACATAGGGCACTTGTTTCCTGCAGAAAGGAAGACCTGAACATATTAAGAGGAGAGCAGACATTGACCTGCATGTAAGTAGCCTCATGCAAACAAAACAACGAAATTTTCAGAGAAAACAGAGGCCATCCCTTTCAAGTACAATCAATGCGTTGTATACGTATGCTTTGGTTTCACCCAAGGCCCTCATATGCAGTCCTTGGAGTGTAAAGTTCTCAATGGAATCCACAATCCTTCAGCCATAACCACTTACCATGGTCCATAGCTTGGAGGAGGCAACCCCGACAGAAGGAATGGCCACAAGGTGTTGTTATAGGGCTATACAGCAGTTTCAGACACAGAGTACAATCCAACTCATCCGACCGTACGACTTTTGCACGCTTCTGCTGTCGTGAGTTTTCAACCTCCTCCAACTGACCTCCAAACTCCCGATTTAAGTCACGAAGCGCTTTTTGCAAAGAAGTGCTGCGAGTTGTAAGAAGATATGTCAAGGCCTGAATGCACACTGACTCCGTGACTTCCGTCATTACTTCCCACCTCTTGTGTACCCAAACTCTTGAAATAATAGGGCCTGTTAAAAAGATATATTTTAAAAGTGGGCTTCGGCTAATAAATAAGTAGGACTTAACCTTCTCGGATCAACTTGAAGACCATCCAAAAATGCATCTCGTGCTCCTTCATACTGCTCCAACTGTTACAGCATCACACAATGATGCTCTAAGCCAAAGCCAAAGCCACAGAATAAAATGTCTCCCCACTAAACATCCGGACAGTCTCTATACTTCGAGACGAATTTGGAGAGGTTGTTCAATCAATAGTGAAGCTAACATCACCAACACAAACACTTCGAATTCAATCAACCCTTCAATGTATCTCTGAGGCTGGTAACACTAGGATCGGCACAACTAACCAGAACCAATGCAGTTCCCTTCCGCAGATAGGCTTTGGGCCAGTCTTTGCGCAGCTTGATCGCTTTCTCCCCATCCTTTAAAGCCAGCTGTTCTTCCAAATCCCACCATGAAGCAGAAAAAATTACATAGTCAAACCAAGATCGACTTAGAATGCAGAAGACGGCACTGTAGAAGAACAGTGCTTACCTGCACAAGAGATGTTGGATCCAGACCAAAAAGGGCCCTTTCTTCTGAAAGCTCGGCAGGAATCTTCCTAAGCCGCTCACTTAGCCTGCAAAGTATTTTGACGAAAAGGTGCAAGATTCAGAATACGCAGCTACTGGTAACTGTGATTATAACGATTCTGTATTTTACCAACCGACTTGCAACATAGCTTGGACAAAACCTTAGAAATAGCTTCGACTATCTCATCGTCTAGAGATCACTCCCACATTCATCAAGGCTGGAATCTAGATGTTAGTAGATTCATCCTTGTTGTTGCTGCTGCAGCTTTTGTACTCTCTTACTTCAGCAGTTTTGAAGTCTTTTGTCCAAAACTATGCTCAGTTCGAGATTCTGGAAACTTACTAACGCCCTCAACTTGAAAACGCTCATAACCTTCTGAGCGTCTTCTCGACGAGTTCGAAATTGGTACCTCATACTTGAAGTTTAGGGGATATCAATCGTTCGCTTTCTTTGGCTGAAAGACCTCTCCCGCCGTGGCAAGGTTTGTACTCTTCTACTCTTTCTCTTTTCAAAAACAGGCGATGTTGGCAGGGCTGGGAAAGTGATCTTCAAAAGCAAGGATGCTTGGGCCATTCTGGAGCAGGATCTGGCTAGAGGTAAGGGTCACCGAGGAACTGACCATAGCATCTTTTGAGAAGGGAGGAGGCTAGTACGTGTGATACAAACAGACTTCCGCACTGAAAATGTTGGTTTTCAAATTTGAGAAAATGTTCAATTCCAATTTTGTTCAGAAACTTCTTATTCACCATATATTTCCTACCCTAGTGAGCTTATTCTGAGTAATCGTCTTCACGGTACGTCTAAACACCCTCAAAATTTAATGGGTGGGGGCTTTGCAGATACTGACCATCTAATTCTGGAATAGGGAATGACCCTCCCAAAGTTTACAGTTATGCTCATCTGAATTCTACAGAGGTGTCCTCAGCACAGGGTAAATTGTACAGTATACACCCTATCACATTGGGCTATGAAATCGGCCAGTATTGTAGGGCTGGCATTCACTCGTGCATCACTGGAGGGATGTTGATGAATTGGATTCATTTGGACGCTACTTTATCTAGAACATGTTGAGGCCACTTTGTATCAGTCACAACCAGTTTCAAACTCCTGCTCGACTAACCAGATTTGTTGACATTTGAGAATGCAAGAAAGAGAACATACTTGCAGTAAGCAGCACAGCGATTGCTAAGCAGAACGGGTTCAAGCATTAGAGGTCCTCTATGCTTCTCTAAGTCAAATGGCAGGACCTCTAATGCATCCGAGTACACCTTGATGGCCTACAAAAGGTAAAGAAAGCCTCCGTTAGAAAGAATTCTCATCCAGCCGCAACATCGCAAGAAGAGCTGGCCATTTGAAATGCAACAATTCCCTGATATAATGGGTTCAAAATTTGATTCAGTTTCCCGAGAGCACTCAATTGTCGACCATGTTTATACTGAACTGCAGGGAAATTGACGTCCGGCTCGAGTAGCCAAGTATCAGAAACATTTTTCTAATGCTTTTGACTCGGCATGTTAAGCAAAAGGAATTCACGACCCCGTTGAGTGAAGGACAAAATGATAGCCTGTGTAATCAGGTGCATAAAAAGCGCTCACTTATTTGCTTTAACAAGATGGGATTGCGAAATTCTAGGCGAGAGAACAGCCAGCGGGAGTCGATACGCACCTCATCATATTTCTCACTGCGGAAGGCGGCATTTCCAACCTCCAGAAGAGTTACTCCCTCCTCATCATCGACGTCTTCGGAGTCTGACACCGAGTCGGCACGACGGTCTTGCACCTCGGCCATGATCCTCGCCTCGCCTCGCCTCACGAATGCCTCCCCGTTCCTCTCCGTGATCACAATTCCGGCACAATTCAGCTCAGCTCAACTCAGCGCACCTCAGTGCAATTGAAGCCACCCTAAGGCACCAGTCTCGTCGCCCTCTTGTTGCTCACTCGGCACATTCGACGTCACCAGCGCATCCCGTCAAACGCTCTCGTCGTCGCTCTATCTGCGCCAGGAGAGCAATTCGCCGCATTTGGCAGCCCTCCCTTTTCCGTCACCCTGCTCCCGCGAGATCTTCCGAGAGTACGATCGGTAGACTTGGCATTTACCGCAATGTCCTTGTCTTCATGTGAACGACGCAGGCGCTCTGGACGCAGAGCCGGATGTCAGTGAGCTTCTTTCGTACTCCATTGGCGGAGCCGACAAGTCAGCCCGGCCCTCGGTCGGGACGCAAGGAGTGGATTTGAGCCGTAAACGTGGTGGTCTCTGGGCCTTGGGCTTCCGACACATGCCTCTCTCATCCCCAACCTTTTGGGAGCGGTCCCTTTTGTCCCAGGACAGGACCCGGTACCTTACTCCCCCGGGCCTCTGACGTCTACCGGTCGTCGTCTAGCCCTTCCTCCGCCCACAATCCTATCGTTTGTTCACGGTTCACTAGTTTACGGGACAGTACAGTAAATTACGCCTCGGCCATGTACGGAGACACCAGGAGAATCATGACTAGGCTTCGTTAGAGGGAGCTTGGGAGTTTGACTGGATGTACTTTTTTTGTGGGTACTGGGAAGGTTGACAAATCTGAGGGTTGGTGCCAAAGATGGTTTTCATGTTTTGGGTAGAATGAGCTTTAAAATGATGTATATCCGTTCTTAGTGGCGATTTTAACAAAGTTTATACACTACATTGGGTTTGCGTTAGAGGGTTTCCTTGTGAGCTTCATTGGATGTACTTTTTGTTTTTCATCCCTGGGAAGCTTTTCACATATGTGGGTTGGTGCCAAAGATGGTTTTCGTGTTTTGGATAGAATGAGCTCTAAAATGATGTCTTTACGTTCTTAGTTGCTATTGTTAACAAAGTTTATTCATTGGGATCAAGTGATTATGTGAAGTGGAGGAAAGTTCCAGATTGAATGTGCAAAATGTGAAGAACTTGTAAGTTTGCTATTCCTGTGATAAAATGACACATGGTCATGATAAACATGGATTACGATAGGGACTCCGAGATCCTGGTAAACTTGCTACCTGTTGACAGGCTCAGATGATGTTGACCTCGCCGGCGTGCCAAGATAATTCATGGTCATCTGATAATGAGTAGACATGATTTTCATGTTCGAGCTAGAGAGCAATAATAGCATACTCTATCAATCAACGTCGTTATCACATGACCATGGATTATCTTGGGATGCGAGCGACATCAATGCCATCTAAGCATGTTAACAACGTCGTTGCTAGCGAGTTTGCAAGTTTCTGGCTGTCCCTGTCGTAATCGAGGTTCATCATGACCATGTGCTTGAGCTCATGCTCAGGGATGGATGCAAATATACTCAAGATGACGGCAAACTGAGCGATAGTAGCTGTGGCAATCGGATCTGCTAAAAAAAAGAATCCCACTTATGAGATTGAAGACGTGGTCAACTAGTTGGAGATTGAACAAGATGATTGGTAAAAAGAAATCTTCGATGAAGACTTTGTGCATATGCTCAACAACCAATTCAAAGAAATGGTCTTTGAGCGGAAGGGTCTCATATAAACAACATGAAAATTGTGTTGACAATTTGACTTCTGTATCATTTTATTCTTATTGGAATAATTACCAAATTAACGTATAAAGTAGAGATAAAGGTATGTGTAAAGCATGAACATTGTGGTAAGATTAGGGGTAAAGTAAAGGCAAAGTACATTTTATTACATGTTAAACATTTACCTTACCTTGTTAAGGCCTATGTGAAAAGCATGAAAGTTAGTAATAGTTCAAAGATGAGTTCAACTTGGAGTAAATAGACACATTTTATGATTTTGGTGAACAAATCTTTTCAACCTACTTCTTTTAGATAGATGAATGACAAAAAAATTAGTATACAATCAAAACATACTCACTAATATCATCATCAAGAGAAGCAAAAGCAAATGAAAGCTATTGATATCCAAGAAGAAATAGAATGTCACTTGAAAAATTGCTAATAAATCACATCTTACCATAACATGAAATGTAACGAACCAATGTGATCAAACTTGATAATCTAATGTGTTTGTGTAAAGCCATGCAATACAAAGATGCAAGCAAGGGGAGTCTAACATGCAAGAAGAGTTTAATTTTTTTTAAACTCTTATAACTTGGAAGTTTGCTTCTATTGTAAATAATCATAAAAGTGTAAGCTGCAAATGAATATTTTGCAAAAAAAAAAGAAAGATGGAAAAAGACAAGATGTGCTCACATTGATGGCAAGAAAATTTTCACACATAGCAAGAGTGGATTTTGGTGAGATCTTTGCTTCTATCAACTCAATTTGCTTCATGTTTGCATTTGAAGTATCATTTACTTTGAGTATTCATCAAATGAACCTCAAGATAGCATTTTTTGATGCTGATTTGGAGAAGTATGTATACATGAATCAACCTTAAGAATTTGAAGATAAAAGTTTGTAACATCGTATGTGCAAGGTTAAGAAATGCTTATACGACCTAAAGAATCACCAAAAACATGATATCTGTTGTATTTATTATTCATCAAAGAAAAATTTTTCAACTGTCAAGAATATCATTCTTGTACATCATGCAAAAAAGTGAGTTCTTATTGATATTTCTTATACATGTGAATGATAAAATTATCTTGGCTCAAAACCAAACTTCAAAGAAAGTTTCAAACAAATTATATATAAAAGTTGAACTATTGCTATGGAGTGGAAAATGAGAAGGATTTCACGTCACAAATTGTCATCTTGAGATCAAAAAAATACATCAAACAATTGTTAAAATGCTTCAAAATGAAAATTTGCAAGACATTGTGACACCATTTGATGTGAATGTGAATCAATTGAAACTTTTGATGAAATAGTTTGAGATCAACTAAGATGAGATGAAAAAAATGTCATATTCATCTAATGTTAGATCATTGATGTAGACTTTGTTGATCACATTGATCTTGCATATGAGATGAATGTGGTGAGTCAATTCATATCTAGGCTTGGTTTATCACATTGAACTCACAATGTGATATTTGCAAGATACTAAAAAGTACAAGATATTTCTTGATGACACAAACATCAAATCCATCAGCTCGATATTTGTATCATCAAGACATATCATTGAGTTGATGGACTGCTCGCTTTGCAAATGGACATATGTTCAACAACAATCATGATACGGATTGCACAAGCTCTGCAAATGAGCAATATTCAACAATAAGATATGCATTCTTATTTAGTGATGATTTCATTTCTTGAAATTGTAAGAGACAACAAATAATGTTTTCTTTCAAATCAAAGAAGGTATACATGATCATTAGTCAAAACATGTTTTTACGTGATATGAAATTAATTCGCGTCAATGCATCCATCATCATGTGTGATAATTTCACACATCACACTCTCGCACAAAGTGTATTAATATTTAACATCACTTCATTCATAAGAAGTTGAAGAGCGATAACGTGCACTTGAGATATTGATCAACAAAGTACATGATGGCCGATGTGTTGACAAACATACTTGCAAGGAAGAAAAATCAGTATTTGATAAAGAGTGAACTTGTGAGATTGCAAGAATTGACAACTAGTCGCAAAGTGAGGTGGATTTTACAAGCTCATATTTACTGCATGATGAATAATGTTGAGGTAGATCTAAAAAGTGACAACAATGGATGGTGCATATGTAACATAGATAGATAAATAGATAACATGCGGCTAGGTCATATTGGGACAGCCGTCATATTAGTAGTATGGTTTACAATTATCAAATCATACTCATGGTTGCTAGACTAGGGTAAAGGTTTTAGGGTTTGAAGTCAATTTGAACTGTACATTAGATACTTTAAAAGAAGATCTTTGAAAGATGTCCATTACTCACTCCATTGATTTTTTGTATGCTACATCAGCTTTAGTAACTACTTATTCACTTCTTTCCATCTCAACAATGTTGATCATATCATGAACATGACTTGATATCAAAAGAATATAAAATCTTATGAAGTCAAAAATGATGTTGAACATATATGACATAATTAATTTGTGATTACATAGATCAGTATATTTGGAAATCTATTTTAACTCTATGCAGAAAGAAATCACAGGTTTTTTATTCCAAAGATTACATTAATTTATTCGACATAGAAGTTAACTATTGAAATTAAAGCTAGTATTGAAAAAACTAAAGCATGTTAATTCTAGGTTGGTAAGTTTTGAAATTTTGTAAAGAACAGAGATTTGGTAAAAATGATTAGTAGTATAGAGAATAGTTAATAAACTATAAACATACTAATCCATTAAAGATTTAAATAAAGGTATGAGCACAAGATTTGTTGACATTATCCTTCGTAGTCATCATTTGACACTCACTACTAGTTACTGAAATTTAGAACTGATTTAAAACTTTATTAAGATACTGATCCAAAGATTCTTTCAAAACATGACCACGTGCAACATAACATCTTTTGATTGTGTACTGCGATCAAAGTAAAGACAATAGAAATTCCACCAACATCGAGTAACATGGTGTATACAACGTGTGATGGAATTGTGAAATATTTTAAAAAGTCTTCAGAAGGATGAAGAATTATCAGCACACTCGATAGTAAAATACTGACACTTATAAGGGAATTTACTACATCACTGAAAGTGATTGATCATGAGTATAATGTAAACATTTAGTTTACCGCTCTAAATTTGTAGACATTGTATTCCATTTGAAGTCCAATATTCTAATGAGGTGACATTGCATCTGAAAAGGTTTTCATTGTAGGATGATGTTGACAATTAAGTGAGGTAGTCAAACATGTCAGAGTGTTCATATGTTGACAATACATTTGTAGTTGTACTTTTTGCTAGAATTGTTATTCAATTATTTTTCTCTTCAATACATTTGTGAAAATATGTTACATAGTTTTTTTTTTACTTTACAGATAATTTTTTCTAAAGTTTTTTTATTCAATGTGGATTATGGTAGGAAGCGGCAAGTTGAAGTAGAGACCTTGAAGTTCAAGCCGATCGTCGTCGCATCTTGTTACTCTCTTTGTTTCTTGTGCTTCATCCTCCAGAGCTCTCTCTTTACTTC